AAAAGAACTTTCAACACATTGCAAAGAAAATAAAAAGAATGGAGAACCAAATAAATTCATCGCTTACGAAGAAAATTGTAAAAGAACTTGATTAATGACATAAAATATCCGTAGCTTAAAGTTTTAAATGAAGTGCTTTAGTATCGTTTAACTAATAAATTGAATTACATATACATTTTCTTAAGATTTTTTTATTTAAGAATTTATTTAAGACGAAATAGTAAAATTACTAGTACACTTGTTTTTATATTATTATAAGAAAGAACTAATTCACGAATATTAATAAGAAAACTAATGTTATATTAGTTAAAAATTATAAAAATATCTTGGAGCAGTGAAATTGGTTTATTAATTTTTTAAATGTAAAAGCTCGTCTGAAGGTACGTACATGCATTTGCCTAAAAATGATTTTATATTCTTTTGCGTCAAATATCTACGAAATTTGTCATAAGGAAAAAAGCTTCTATATTAAATTTAATTTATTTCCATATTTAATCATTTTTTTTCTTAATTTATAAATATAATAAAAAAAATTATTTAAAAATATTTACTAAATATTTAATAATTCTATATTTAATATAAACAAAATTTCTATATTAAATCTATAAATTTTACAGAGAAAAAAAAATTCTATATTAAAATTCAATTTAATTTATAGAGAATTGAATATTACCATTTATATTCGAGAAGACTTAGTATCTTTTCATAATTTTAGTTCCCTTTTTTCTTTCCCATTGTCATATACATTAATGTATAGTTACATAATTCAAATAGTAGTAGTCATTTAATAATTAATTCATAAATTAACTTCGCTAAATTCTTAAATTTAATAATTCTTTTTACATATAATATAAGCCGAGTACAGCAATTAATGTACAAATATACTAAAGAGCTTGAACATGTTTTGTATAATATTGAAAAGTTTTTATAAAATGTTTTTTCAAATACAGCATTTTGTATTTAAATTTGTTTTATATTGATAAAAGTAAGATTATTTAGTTCAGTTTATTTCAGTCACAAAATTATTTTACGTGTCAAATTTACTGGCGCTATTTGTTTTATTGATTGTAAATTCTACGTAAATGCCCATTTTTTGACTTAGTAGAAATTTTTGGTTTTCTATTATATAATGTTTTGTGTTCTTCAAAAATAGAATTTCAATTTTTAGTATTTTCAGCAATAGTATTTAATTTTAATACTTATGTAATCCATATGAATTGATTATTATAAATTATAAATGCCAATGAAAATTATTAACTATTATATTTGTTCGTTATATCGGCTGTATACTTTGTGATTTAATTAATAGTATTCAAAAAATTATTACGAATGAAATTTGTTCGAATGAGTTTCAAAGGTCGGTTGGCTAAAAATGAAACTCGTTTGTGCTCAGCATTAGAATCGCTTTAATTAGAGAAAAAAAATTTATTATTGAAAAACGCACGTACTTGTAATATGGTTAACAGTATTGTAAGGTATAATTTAATTTTAAATTACAATTTTCGAATTACAATTTTACATTATAGATCGTTGTGTGCGCGCGTGTGCGCGCGCGTGTGTCATCGTTATTATTTGTGTATTATAATGAAATATGTTATTGCGAATAAATAAAGCGTAGTTGATATTGAATAAGAATATTTGTGTATGATCTTACATTACATTTAACACTGCACATATATAAATAAATAAACTTTATATTTTACGTATTGCACGGTGCAACATTCAAGTAATACTATGAAATTTTTAATAATTTTATCAATTGATCGTTGCTAATAATGTTTACTATCGATTATGACTATCGACGCAATGAACAAAGAACTACTTATGAAGAAAGTTGATTTAAATAATAACTAATTAAACGCGAAAGAGAGTTATGTTCTTACATAATTTTGTGAAAAATCTGCAATTACTAGACATAAGATACTAAAATTCCTTGGTCGTTGGTTAAGTTAATGTTAATGTCTATATAAACAATCAATGAATAGAAAGGACTCTCATGAATAATTGCGCTCTCACTAATCATAATTACGATGCTACTCAATCAACATTCAGAAAGCTTAAAAAATTATAGAAAGCATTCGTTGAATGCAGTGGTAGAGAGTAGAATGGAAAAAAGTACTTTCACAATCCCAATGAAGCACCTTACCAAATATTGTAATGCCACTCGCTTTTCCTACTTGAATCATAGCAAAAATGTTGATCAAGAAAGAGAGGCTCGCGAGCACAACAATACGTAAGACTGTACACCACACAGATTACTACTAGCAGAAGGGCTGGTGGAGAGACGGAGAAACGGAGAGACGGAGAGACGGAGAGACGGAGAGACGGAGAGACGGAGAGACGGAGAGACGGAGAGACGGAGAGACGGAGAGACGGAGAGACGGAGAGACGGAGAGACGGAGAGACGGAGAGACGGAGAGACGGAGAGACGGAGAGACGGAGAGACGGAGAGACGGAGAGACGGAGAGACGGAGAGACGGAGAGACGGAGAGACGGAGAGACGGAGAGACGGAGAGACGGAGAGACGGAGAGACGGAGAGACGGAGAGACGGAGAGACGGAGAGACGGAGAGACGGAGAGACGGAGAGACGGAGAGACGGAGAGACGGAGAGACGGAGAGACGGAGAGACGGAGAGACGGAGAGACGGAGAGACGGAGAGACGGAGAGACGGAGAGACGGAGAGACGGAGAGACGGAGAGACGGAGAGACGGAGAGACGGAGAGACGGAGAGACGGAGAGACGGAGAGACGGAGAGACGGAGAGACGGAGAGACGGAGAGACGGAGAGACGGAGAGACGGAGAGACGGAGAGACGGAGAGACGGAGAGACGGAGAGACGGAGAGACGGAGGGACGGAGGGACGGTAAAACGGAGAGACGGAGAGACGGAGAGACGGAGAGACGGAGAGACGGAGAGACGGAGAGACGGAGAGACGGAGAGACGGAGAGACGGAGAGACGGAGAGACGGAGAGACGGAGAGACGGAGAGACGGAGAGACGGAGAGACGGAGAGACGGAGAGACGGAGAGACGGAGAGACGGAGAGACGGAGAGACGGAGAGACGGAGAGACGGAGAGACGGAGAGACGGAGAGACGGAGAGACGGAGAGACGGAGAGACGGAGAGACGGAGAGACGGAGAGACGGAGAGACGGAGAGACGGAGAGACGGAGAGACGGAGAGACGGAGAGAGAGAGAGAGAGAGAGAGAGAGAGAGAGAGAGCTTAAAGATTGTTGAAGGGCAGGGGATGGGATGGGATGGTATTGCAGGGTAGGAGCGAGCTAGTGTATGCAAATATGTGTGCGCGCATGTGTGCAAGGACTGCTCAATCGCAGCAGTAGTCGCCCCGTCGGCGAAAGGCAGGTAAAAGCATCGAACTAATGTCGAGGTAAAATAATTCGAGCACTCACGTGCCCGCGAGCTCATGAAACAAAGAAAGAAGAGGTAGAAAGAAAGCGATGAAGCAAGCATCATTGAAGCGAAGAAGGAAGAGATGATAAGAGCCTTAGGTTGAGCAGGAGGGTGGTTGGGAGGAAGGAACGAGGGCGCGTAATCGTCTCACCTGACTTCATGGACGACGGGGAGCGTGGGGAGTGCCTGGCAAGCCGGTCACGAGGAGGATAACGCTGGCGGCGATAACACAACGTCCCACGTCGCGGCTCACCGCGTCACCCCGGGAAACGCAGCGGCGGCGGCAAAAGCCGGGAGCGCCTGCGAAACTCCTTAACGACGCTCCTTCCTCCTCCGCGCAACGCCGATTATTATTGCCACCTTTTGTTATTGACGACGCCGCTTTATCTCGCTCACTCGCGCGCACTCTGGTTGTCTGCTACGAGCGCTCGTCACCTTGACTACGGCATCGCTAGAGTGCAGCGCGCGCGGAGAGTCGCCCCCCCCCAACCCGCGGCGCCATTTTTATCGTAACTCGGGGCCGCGAGCGCCGAGGCCCGAGTTACCGCCGCTCTCGTCTATCGTGCCGAGACCGCGGCTTCCAGCCCCTGGACAGCAGCCGCTACGGGAATAAGCCCTGGAGCGGGCTCGAGGAGCCGCGGTTCTCGCGAGCTGGCGTTGGCACTTTAACTCTCGCGTGTGGCGGCGCCGAAGTATTATTGATTTTCTCGGGCTCGGGTTCGCGGGACAGCGGGGCGAGAGGACGATTGGCATGGCCGATGCTCGGTACGAGCTCTCGACTACCGGCCTCTAGCACTTTCCGCAATTTTTATTTTTTTCCTGTTAAGTCATGGCTTTTCGTTTAGCCGCGCATACTCCACGACACATACTCACTCCGCCCGCATACGGTTGTTCAATGTATTCGTTACGTCAGCTCAATCGTTCCCGACTTTTTTTTTCGCCAAGTTCTTTCTCGGCAAATCCGTAACGAGCGAGCGCTTCCGCCCGCGTTTATCAGTTTTTTTTTTCTCTTTCTTTCTGCCAAGCTTCGCTCGCTTATCCGTGATCGATTACTTATTTAATTGACGTGGCTTTTTAACGACAAGTAATTGTTGGTTTATAAATACGCGCGTTAGCGTGCACATGCGATGGTGGTGGCCGTGGCTGGCGGCGAGGGGGAGGCGGGAGCCGGGGTGGCGTGCGTGTGAATTGTTTTCCTTTTCTTTTTCTTTTTCCCCAGGATAGCGATAGGTAATACGGCATCGAGGCTTGCTCGTATGTGTATACTACGCGATGCATACATTATCGTTTGCATTGATAATTGTAGCTTGAAAGCCATGTTTAAATTTAGATCGAAGGAGGAAAATTATGCGCGTGAAAAATCAATGTCGACGATTATAATAAAAGCTACATGATGAAATAGCCAATGTTTATTTATTTCTTTCGTTTTTTTTTTCTTCATTTTTCTTTCTTCAATCGAGTCGCGAATTATGCACAGGATCGAGTCATTTATAAAGAAAAATACCATTATTATTATTCAGGGGCGCGTGCTTAATTTTTGATAATTTAATTTTTAGCGAAGAACAAACATGAAGACTTTTTTTTAGCTCACCGTGATTAATAAAGTCACCATTTTCCAATATTAGATAGGAATCATCTAACTGGAGCGAATCAATAGTTACATCGATATTAGGTACCCTTGGACTATCCGGAGGGATGATGAAAATCTGTTCATTGTCGAAAAATTCTTCGAAAGAAGTGTCTCCCACTTTCCAGTTGCTCATTGGCACAGTGTTTTTTAATTAAATCAAGGCGCGAAAACAGTTTTTAGGTATCCCGGAGATACGGTTTCCACGGGAGAAAAATATTTTTTCTTCGCTGTCGTTTATGCGAATGACAGAATAAAACGCATCGATTCACTTGTTTATTCGCTCTTACCGATTCTCTTTTTTCTGATCAAAGCGTATTGTGTTCAGTTGATTGAAATTAAACGTAAAATAAAAACGAAAATAGAATGCGTGCATTGTGCATTGTGTCGGTCATGATCGTTCGATGATAATGATTTTGATAATGATTCTATTGAATTTACCTATTATCCATGATGTAAATGTACTTGACAAATTGATTTTTCATCGGACGCCCGACCGATCCCATGCATTTATGTCGAATTCTACGACTTTCTCAAAATACTGCTATTTGAATAATTCCCACCATGCATGGACAGCCGGAATCGAAGACTACGAATTCAAAAGCGAATTGCGAATTGAGCGAATGAAGCGAAGGAGAAGAGAAAAAACAATGAAAATGACTGAAACGTAAAAGTAAAATCTGTCAAATAGATCGATTAATTTACTAATTATTCATTAGGTTGCTGAATTTTTCTCTTTTTAAAATGCATTGCTATCTCGTTTATTTCTACGCTCGATTAACATTCAACATTTAAAGTAGTCGTTCGTACGAGTAAAATTCATGCTTTTGAATACTGTGAGCACGTATGTTGTATACAGTCTTGTGATTCTTGTGATTCCGTGATACTACTGATCGCTGTCGTCGATAAATAAAATCATCTCTCGTATTGTTGTAAATAATATTACAATTGTGCTCGAGCTGGCGATTAAATATCATTGTAGCTTAAAGAATATGTAACCCTTGTTGGTATTGAAGCCTGTTGTTATAATAGTAATCGTCGGTCTTAGCGTTGCTCAGGCGTTGCAGTGCAGCAACAGTTTGCAGTTTGCAATCTGTCAATATGATGACACCTTCGGAAGTCGTGACGGACGATCATGGAAAGGAAACCATTGTCGACACTGCAGTCCTGGAGGTGAGCTCTATGTTAACGGGAGGTAGTATGAAGCAGGACGATGCCCTTTCCAATTATAGTACTTCGGTCGAAGGTTCTGTGGTAAGAGTATAACCTTGAAAGTTTTATTGTTTACTGTAAAGTTCGATTGTGCAATGAGCAGAGGCGTGATGTCTGAAAATTTAAAGAGAACAATTATCAGGTTGCTTCGCCCTCGATCGAAAGCTTCTCCACGTTACCCGAACAAGAGACATCGGAATCCAATCTAGATCTTCGAGATCTTCAAGTCAAAGTCGATAGTCCACAAAAGCATGTCGAGACCTTGGAAACTTATATTACCTTTAGAATCACAACACGAGTAAATAAATAATTAATAAGCGTTAACTATCGACTAAGATAATTTTATATCTATTAAGTTTCTCTTGTACTATTCAGTCAACTAGGCCAGAATTTCAAGAGGGAGAATACATAGTTCGTAGGCGTTATAATGACTTTATATGGTTAAGGAATAAGCTAGACGAAAGTTATCCAGTACATATTATTCCGGCAAGTATAATGTAGCACAATATAATTATCATTCGTGTATAATATTACATAATAATTATTCATTTTTTATATCTAGCCAATGCCAGGTAAACATTCGCTATTCGCTCAATTGGATCGCTATTCTAAGGAGTTTATAATAGCTAGAATGAAGCTACTACATATTTTTCTAAATCGCATGGTGAATCATCCTATTTTAAGCTGTGACAAAAACTTACAAATATTTCTCACTGCCAAACCCGCTGTAAGTTTTCCATCAAACCTTAACGTTATTTAACAATAGATTGCATTCGATTCTTTTATATTCTTTGTATTAGGAGTTTTTTATTCATCGTAAGAATCGTGCTAATGTTTTTGTTAAAATGACTGATTCTTTACAAAGTATGACCGCTACAAGCGGCATAAAATATAAACGTCATTTAGAATTTGAGCAAGTTCGAGATTATTGTTTTGCTTTAAGTGAAAAGTTAAGCACTATAGATAAAATAAGTCGTCGTATACACAAAGAAAGACAAGGTATGTCCAAAATTTATGAAAATATTTTAATTAATTTTCTCCCTAAATCACACGTTAATTGGTTTCTTTCTATCAGATTATTTAGTTGAATTACATAAACTACATCCCATATTTACATTTTGGGCGACTTCTGAGCCAGAACTGGCTAAAACTTTAAAAGCAGTTGCAAGCGCTATCGAATCTAATGCAACTGCGCACCAGAAGTTACTGGATTCCGCAGATTCTTCGGAAGAAAGGGAGTATATTAGTTATATCGATGCCGTAAAAGAGGCATTGAATCATAGGGATTCTATGCAAATTGAATACGACATGACCGTTGAAGAGTTAACAAAAAGAAGAACAGAAATGGAACAAGTGAGTTTTAATTACAAGTTCTTTGTGCGGTGAATAGATTTTTCGTATGAATCACTTAAATTTATAACATTTGACGCAACGTGCTAGCTAACTTGTTATTGTTCTATATTTTTAATTTGACACGATTGGTATTTGCAGATAATTGACAGAAATCTTTGCATTTACTAATTTACAGATTGTAGGATCTGGAAACGGAAGTACAGGTCGCTGGGACAATTCATTTTGGAAAAGTGAAAGTAATGGTGAAAAATTGGATAAATTATCACAAGCCATTCCGCGCATATCTGAAGTAGTTGAAGTCTTGCAGGATCGATTAGAATGTGCAAATGAAAATTTACGAAGCGATTTAGAACGATGGAATATAGAGAAGCGAGTTGATTTAAAAAATATACTTTTAGCAATGGCCGATCAACAAATTGCACATTATCAACAATGTACAAATGCTTGGGAAGATGCATTATCAATTGTTAAAGTGGGATCTAATGAAACGGAATCTACCACAAGTCCACCCCCTAAAGTATTCGTTTAAATTTGTTAAACTTCTTTTTATGTTCCATATCGAAGTATTGAAATTTATTTTCAAAGATTATGGTGATTCATTTTCTTTTTCATTTTCATTAAAATCTGTACAAAGCTTTTCATGATGATTAATAATCATGTTTTGCTGTACCAAGTCCATAATTTTTAAAATACGCAGAATTATAGTTATTCGAAAGGGGATATTTATTTAAAAAAAAAAAAAAATTATTAATTTTCTTATTTCTTTATGTATTTTTTTAACATAAAATTATTCGCTAAAATTATTGCTCTATAAACGTATACATTTCATTAACAAATATACCTTGCTGTGATAATTGTATCAGCTGTATGTTATATTTTTTAAGTAATAAGTACTTATCTGATAAAGAAAATACACACGCGCAAATGCGCGCGCGCGCACACACACACACAGACACGCAGACAGACACACACACACATTTATTTGTATATACATACACGCACACGCGACACACACAAATATATTCCAAGTATTCGACCTCGTGTTGATGGATCGACTCGTCAATGGCGCTTGGCCTAATTCTCAAGGAATAGGCTATGGCGACAGGGCATCCTGATGTTTTCCTCGATACCTCTAAATCTGAAGTGGAAATAAATTATTTCAGCTGTTTGTCATGAAATGAGTCAAAATCATTGTTAACGCCAACATCTCTGTCTAAGTAGTCAGCATAATTGCCAGCCACGCTGTCAATTGAAATTTTCAAGTAAACAAATACTTGACAATTGCACTCCCGGCAGTCGATTATGAATCATATATAGTCTACGCGATTGAAGTCCAATTCTCCTGATAGTTGAGAATAAATTATAAAAGCAAATAATTCTGTCTCGGGAATTATACTATGCTAATTGTATCCACTCAGCTACATGGCAGGCACATGGAAATCTTTATTACATGTAAATATACTATGATTATAAATGTGATTAGCAATGATGATTGATGCCCGATGCAGACAGCAGAATATAACTTCAGGGTACAGATTAGACACGTGTCCTTATTTCGATGGATTCGTTTAATCTCGAAATGCCCTTAATATAAACTTCAGATAAATTTATTTTCACTATAGTAACAAATACTTTATTAATATTATACTTGAAAACTTGAGTGGCTTATAGTGACCTTTGGGTCCTATTAGTTGTCATCGGGGTTGATTCGATGGTACCACCTAGCCTACATATACTTATTTAGAATCAGTTCTCAATGCAGATGACTTTATACAATAAATACCAATTTAAATGAATTGCTAATAAAGTACTTTGCATAAAGTCTTGCACAGTTTAAAATTCAGCATATGCTATATACCTTTCAAAGGCAGACTAAATTTAGATGTCAAAGACAGTTTATAATTATAATATCACATTTCTGTTTATTTTTCATTTTGGGACCAGAATATCAAATTTTTATTTAATACTAATTGTAACACAAGTAATAAGACAATCAAATATTGAATCAATAAATTAAATTAATTATAAGTGAGTACTTGCCTGATATTGCTATCATTTGTCTTTTGATAAACAAAGTTTATTGCTTATTATTAAGCTGAAAATTGAAATAAATTTTTTCACCTATATTTTTATATCCAATATAGTTACACATGTTCTGCGGGATCAATGTTTACTGTATATTAAAATGTACAAAGAAATACGCTTTAAAAATTTACAAAAAAATATAAACATTGAAAGAACAATGATTTTATCATTTAATGAATAATTTATTACTTCTATTGCATTAATTATTTTACTTAAGAACAATTAGGCATCGGCGTAATATAAAACTCTATGAGGTTATCGAAGTCCTTTAATCTTGTAATAGATTCATCTGCAAAATTTTTATTGTTACAAAATATTTTAAATATCTGTTAATGTATAATTGCTAATAAAAATTTACTTCTAAAAATGTTTTCTTTTCATTTACGAATGTTAAACAAACCTGCTAAAGTTAATTCGTTGCTTAAGTAACGAATACGGCGAGCATAAGGTTGTTGAATCTTCTGTCTCATTTGTGGTGCTATAAGTTTCGTCGGATTCCATGGTACACTAGGAGATCCAATGTGTGACTTATCGGTACGTACAGAATCAGGCTTAACTTCTTTAAGTTTCAAAATATCCGTTAATCTATATTGATTGGAGTCAACATTCCACGTAAATTTGCAACCAGCGACATATTGTTTCCTATCATCGGTACTAAAAATCACATATGTTATGATTAATGCCAATTGGAGTGTAAAATTCAAGATTTAACATTAAATAGTATGAACCTTTGTCCTTGGCTAGATTGTTCACTCGTTTGAATTTTCATAATAAGCAGAAGAATGATATCACCAGTAAGGGCACAAATGTCAATGATTTCTATATCATAGTCACTACAGTGCCAATACTTTTTTTTAAACAATTTACATTGCCAGTCTGCGATATGATGAGAAAACGTTTCGATATCAAAACTCATCTGATGAATTGAAACACACGGTACATTCTGAAATAATTATTCGATTAATTAATACTTAATTGAATATGCCCATATGTCTTATAACATACCAATTTTTCCGCTTTGGCATTACTAATCATTCCCATTTGAACATAATCTGCTCCATGAACCTGCATAGGAAGCACGCACTGATAGCTTACATATCCACCGGTTTCTTCATCTAAAAAGTAGTTTATACAAGTAAAATTGTTGGACCAATTCATTCATTATTGTTGAAAATATGTTCAGACCTTAAAAATTTTGAAATTAATATTCTGTCTAATGTTTTGACAAGAACATGATTCTAGAAATTTTAAACAATTTGTATGAAAATTTTACGTTCGTTTTATTTTACTTATCATTCTACCTTATATTTGACTATAGAAGCCGATAATTATTATTGATTTAGGCTATGGGTCTTGACAGATGGCATTGAATGAAAAAATTAAAAACGTTAAATGCGAATAACTACCTTCAACATCCGTAATAACAGAAGTTCTTTCGTCATCCAAATCAATATAACTGCGTTTAAAGTGGGACGTGCATTTTATAATAGGATATTGTAAAGTAGCTTTAGGAACCAAAGGTGAAACATTGCTTAAGTATGGTTTATTAGCCCGTTCACGGCAAAGATTAGGCAATTGATTCTGATTAAGTGGTCGTAATACATTTTTTTCAGCTGTAACGAGGAGGTTATCCCTTAAATTACATAAATAGGTCTTGTATTTATATGCGATTATAATAACTTACTCATGTCAAATATTGAAATATCACTAAGTATATGCGAATCCTGAGAACTGTTAAAATCCTCTGATTCGCTATGCTCCGAATCAATTTGATGGCGTCTACCATTAGGCAAGGGTGAGGCAACCTGTGAAATTTGATATAACGAACATCCACGATGTTTGGATTGATCGCGAACATGTTTAAAAGGAACTATATTTTCGGCATCTTCAGTTTCATCACAAAATTCGTATTTTTTATCAGCGAGTCGACGTTTCCTAAACGAACTGAGTTTTTCACAGGTTTCTTGGGCATCGTCTGTAAATTCGTATGCTTTTTCTGCTTCAAGATTAAGTTTATGACTCGCTCGAGTTCGTGGTTGGGAACTTAAATTTGACGTGGGTGAGACAATATTGGAACGTTTTCGGGAATTCGAGTGCCTAAAAATAATAAACTTATATTTAAAAAAATCTATAATAACGAAGGAAGAAATTTTATTTAAAAAAAAAAATTAACATAAATATTTTAGTTATAGAAAGTCTTGGAATCTTACAATTAACATATTTGTCTTGTTACAAAAAGGTATTCTTAGAATACAAATTTAAGGTACCTGAATGACCTTGTGATTGGCGGTGACATCAAACGAGGAGAAGATGACGTAGTAGTTCCTATAGAAAGAGTCTGAAGAGGTGAATTTATTGACGTGATATTAATACAAGAATTACCCTGAGAAGCACTGGGTTGCGGAGAATTCCTGTGACTAGATTCTGAATTACGCGTTTTCAAAATATCAGATGGTGGTATGAGTATAGGCGATGACCATGTACCAGGTTTCAAATCTGGTGGTAGCCTTTGAGGAGTAGACCTCGGAGAGCATGGTGGATGTTTTACCAATGTTATAAGATCACTTCCTATACTTAATTCTTGTGACATATCTTCGCAAAAGTCTTGTAAAATTTTGTCTCTAACGGAAATTGCCTGCTGCTCTGAATGAGAATTCGAACTACTGGAGTTACCACACTGATACTGCATATTATCCGAACACATACATACTTTTTCACTCAAACTAATACTAAACTTATTATTATCACAGACATAATCGCTTTGATTACTGCTAGAGGTATTTATCAAATGTTCGTTTTCTATTCGATCGTACACCCTACATTGCGGTTCGTCATTAAAATCGTACTCTGTTATTGTCGAATCGCATTTTGGAGAAACAACAGAGATACTTTCTGGAGTTAAGCCTTTGTCATCTAAATTCTCATAGTGTTCAGCCTTAGATTCTTCTGATTCAACAACACCAATAACATCTAACTGTTCAATGTCAACAAGAGATGCATCCTGTTTGTCATTGATTTTCTGATGATTAATATTAACATTGTCTAAATCTACCCTCAGTACATGTAAGAAATTTCCCGTATTAACCACAATATGATTAGAATAATTCAAACATACAAGAGCACGAAATTTCGGATAAGGTGAGATCACTTCGTATGTTGTGTGTACCGTGAGGCCATGTTGCAGACAATTGCAGCGCACACAGGTATCCCAATTTGCTGCCAAATCTAGGTCAAACGAACGATTTATGAATATTATTGTAAATATTTGTAAAATAAAAAGATTATAGAAAATATTGTATAAAAATAATGACCATCTTCTTCGTATGAAGATGCTATACTTTGGCAATCTGTGCAATTGCTTAGAGATGGGACCGTTGTTATAGTTACAAATGCTTTATCCGTTTGTTGAGGCTGCGTTTGAAAATTAGAACTATAGAAATAAAAAAATTTATTATATTAAAATTTATTCAATTCAACGAAGAGTTAATTAAATAAAATAAAATTAAATAAAAAGATATTGCCGATATCTTACCAGAGGCCATGTATTACTAATTTATTTCTCTCTGTTGGCCACTGAGCAATAACAATACTAAGCTCTTTGTAAATACTATAATTACCGAATAAAGTAACTTCAGCTACTTTTCGGGCTACTCTATTTGGAGTAAAAGCCCACCAATGTAAAAAATACTTGAAAAAACTTCCTGGAACTCCAACATCAAGATTATAAGTATATGTTAATAAAAACCGTCCGCATTGTGTGAGACCCATAACGATATGGCTAAAACATTAACAATGTAAGAATTCTGCAAATGCTATTTAGATCGTACTTCATGCAGTAATTCAATAAAACAAATTAATATAATTAATATAATTAATATAAATACCCAGCTTGAAGAGCAGATTTGGGAATAACTTGTAACAACGACAAATGACACCATGAAGGTATTGTTGTGAACAGTCTTTCCTCTGGAGCATAATTGTGCTGTGTTAATGAACCTCTTATCTATATAAATAAGAAAATCTCAAATGTTAATTGTTTATAGATGTTACAAAAACACACAAACTTGTACCCTGTTTATCCATAAAACAAGTTTGCTAGAAAAATATATAATTATAAATTCTAATACTTATAAATATAGACAGTAATTAATATAGTTTCTGTATAATTTACAATAAAATTTATGTATTAAAAATACATTCCGATATTAAGCAGAAAATTTATGGACAAAAGCTTAGGGAGTAAAAAATAGTTTACTGATGTAACAAATATAATAGAGTATTTTATATTGTTAAAAAAATATACAAAGCAACCGAAGTTGTAGTGGCTATACTGTGTTACTTGTTAAAAAACAATATATTTTTCATTCAAAAAATTGTCTCCTAGGTTTACAATTTGCATTGCATTATTAAAGTAAGAAAGGTATTACATTTATTAGCTCGAAATAAAGTGAAAATATATTATATATATCATTTAAGGTATGCACTATATTCTCAGATCTCGAGTCCTTGAATATAATCTCGAAAACCGTAGAGAAAAATTTTTTTCCAAGTGTAAGATCGTCTCTTAAAACTCGGGGGAGTGATTTTTTTCGAAATCGATTTTTCATACCTCACGCGTGAAGAGCTTCTGTAAAAAGTTTCTCTCGCTCCTTCGTGTAATAAGGCTCGTCCTTTGGCTACCGACAACGTATTCCGTGGACTTTTCTGATGAAATATCAGAAAAACATTCGTTGAAATAATCTGAGGTAGTATCGGAAGACGAAGCGTCCGCCATTTTTAAATAACCAATCCACAAAATTTTTCACGCGAAAGTCAGTGAACTGCCGACAACTGAGATTGTAAACTCAGTGTCCACGATCGAAACAACTTGCGCCCTCGATTAATAAAACCATGGCTCTGTTTCAGTCAACTATCGTAAAATCAATTATTTGAGTATACAATTTATTTCTATATTTGAAAAAGCATAACATTATTAAATGCGTTAACAGTGTACTAGGAAACTATATCATACATATATCTATATATGCGTGTATAAAGATGCATAATATGCCCAAGTATATGTGAAAATGTATATATATATATATATATATATATATATATATATAAATGCAAGCTCATAAGTCAAAAGCATATATATATATATATATATATATATATATATGTATATGCATTAATATGCATGTATGTGATTAAAACCGTATATAGATCTCAATCTGTTGAAAATACAAAAAAAAAAAAAAAAATATGTACATATAAATTTAAAAAAAATTGGATTTTCATAAAAAATTTGCAGTATAATTATTGCACGTCATAATTCATGATTAATTATAGCTCAACCAAATGTATTTTATAAAAAGTACTTCGATTAAATTAAGAGCTTCGGAGGTAATATAAGCACAATTATTAATAATAATTTTGAAATGTATTTTAACAGTTAAGTTATTTATCAAATGAAAAATGCTTCCTATGTTTAAAAAAAAAAAAAAAAAAAAAAAAAAATTATTAATGAATAAAAAATAATTTCACCTTTAATTATTGTTATATATCTTGTAAATTATATGTAAATTCTTTATATTTAGAAATAAAAAAAATCCATTTTAAGGAAATAATAAAAGAAAAATTATAACATTGTTAAATCTTTTGTTTATTTTATGACAATTTCATATTATAAGTCGTTGTCTACTCTTTATTTAAGATGATATCTTTCAATACTTTTTAAAGTCTTTGTTTCCTATTAATACTCAAATAATATAATTTAAAAATATATAAAATATAAAATTGTTTTACTATTTTCAAAATAGATAGAATTAATATGTTTTTAAGTAATTATTTGACATATATACAATATATACAATATCTTAAGTTATTATATACAAGGAGTAATGTATTTATTGAATAAGTATCGTCAGTGTTTTTGATTAATTTTTTTTTATAGAAAATTATGACACGGTAAAAGCTATAATTTTTAATTCGAAGCATAGAAACATTTGTAATCAAGTGGATTACTTTGAACTTACGTGTCGCGAAAGATATACGTATTAAAATGTAATACAAAAATATAAAATTTACTATACTGATGTTTTACAAATGTATAAATTCACATACAGATTTTATTATAAATTGATTCTACAATATTAATTGGTAAAATTAAAATTCTTAAGCGTTGATTTTGTATTTTTATCTAATTGGTATTTGGTATCTTACTGCAATAATAAGAATACTTCTTCTACTTTAATTTTCACTTACAATTTCCTATTTAATCCTATCAAAGTAGTATCAAGGTCAATATAAATAATCTAAGTAATCTAATTTTTTATATAAGTTTTATGGACAATTTGCACCGTTTTGGACATTGTGTGGAGATTTCAGGTGAAAATACATTCGGTCCATTTTCTTCTCCGTACCTACATTTTATACATATTTTCCATTATTTTCCTGACATATTATAAAGGTCGTGATCGTGACGAATTTGATAAAATTTCCTTTCAATCAGCACTTTACATCGTCATCGGCGTTCCCCGAGTCTACATTATACAGCCCGCGAATGCAAATAACTTTGAAATCACGTAATCCATAAATTGTCATTAAGCTCAAAGGGACATTAGGTTCGGTATTTGACGTTTAGTCGGATCATTGTTTGGAAACAATGTCACCACGAAATTGACCTACAGCAGCTCATAAATATCATAAAGCACGAGACTGGGCGCAACGTACCCCAATCAATTTGCCATTTGGTCGAAGGACCACTAATTTGTCGAATTTTGACAATGACACGCTTAGACAGACGACGATTTACCACTTGGCATAGACACAACACATTCCGGGCTATTCGGAAAGCCGGAGGTGGGCGGCGGAGGTCCATCCGTCCGTCCGTCCATTCGGAATTCGTATATTTGAAAGAAGGAGGCGCAAGGCTGCGCGTATCCTAGTTCTACGACTGTGTGCTCCTCGGCACTTACCTTATGATTGGACAGTCGTGAATAAGGGGCTGCTACTAGGTCGCAGCAGCCCCGCGTTTATGTCAATTGTGAAGCGTCACCCGCTGTGCATTCGTCAATTGTCGAGCATCGAGTGCAAGAGGGTAGTGAGATCACGTCAACAACGTCGTTTTAAGACGATACAGAGAGCTCGGCTTTTCGGGCTTTCCGCGAAAGTACAATATTTATTCGAAACCGCGCATTCTATTGGCTTCAGCGCGTACAACGCCCGCGCGACACTCCACCGTCCATCGTGTAAAAAAGCGAGACGCAACGCTCGTATAATCAGAATCGACATCGCCGAAACAACAGCCGAGGGTTTGTTTGAGAAATTGAGGCGATTGTAGAGGGAAGTCGCTGGATACGTAATAGGAGCAACGTCAATGCAATATCGTTGAATTACCATCCTTTCTGGCGTAATATAATTATTTATAAAGCAAATGGGTAGAAGAAAAAGTAAAAGGAAGCCGCCCCCAAAGCGAAAAAATATTATGCCTCTGGATACGCAATTCAATTGTCCGTTCTGTAACCACGAAAAATCTTGTGAGGTTAAAATGTGAGTAAACATTTCGTTCGAAATCTCCATTTGTATAGCGCAAAATTCTCCCCTCCACGTAGTCACCCCCTCTTCTCAAACTTTTAAATAAAGAGCAAAATGAAGGTTAGTTTTTTTTTAGATTGAGCATTCCGACTTTCGCACATAAAATTTTCACCGTAATAGGTAATTTAACGTAAATAACCTTACTTAATCATGAATTCTGTTTTGTATTGATTGTGATCATCTTTCTCACGTGACTAACACAAGAATTATTGTAAATAATATAATGCACGTTGACCAATTGTGCTGAGAGTACTGCCATTTTTAACCGTTATTTTAAATAATTAAATATATGATTTTATAATTTTAGGGATAAAGCACGGAATACTGCGAGAATTACTTGTAGAGTATGCCTTGAAGATTTTCAAACCACTATAAATCTGCTCTCTGAACCATTGGACGTTTATAACGATTGGATCGATGCATGTGAAAGTGCTAATTAAATTGTTCGATATCACTTTTGAAAATACACACTATAAAATATCTTGTAAAGATTATCGACGAGAAATTTTCTATTAATTTGAATATTGGTTTATTTTAAAATAAACTAAAAATTAAGTTTTTAGTGGACGTTGTGGCAAACCAATGTTATCGAAAGTGTTTGTTAAAGTAGATATACAATAACTTTTAATAACCAACTTTGAGAAGTAAATTGATAGATCAAAAGTATTGTTATACATATTCATGTGTATATATATATATATATATATATATATAAATAAATAAATAAATAAATAAATAAATAAATATATATATATATATATATCTGTACACATGCATATATCTATACATATACACGCATATATATAAATTAATGGCATGAATTAATAATGAGAATTCTATTTAAAAAGTTGAACATACGAAATTAGAAATATTTATTTACAATTTACAATTTATAATATAATAAGTACAATCTACATAGTAAATCTATATTAAAAAGAAAAAAAAAACAGATTTTTAATTATAGAAAGATGTCTTTTCTTCAAAAAAAAATGTTCAACATCAAACCAAAAAATTTAAAAAACTTTAATAACAGAGATTATGAACCAGTTTCATGGACTCTGTATTTTAATGAAAGAAAGCCTGTTACTATAAATGAAGATACTTTCTACGTGTATGCACAAGGCAATGAAGGTCCTTTATTAGTATTATTACACGGTGGTGGCTATAGTGCATTAACATGGGCTCAGTTTACTAAATCTATAATAAGTTTAGTTACATGTCAAGTGATGGCAATCGATCTTCGAGGACACGGAAGTACAACTACTAAAGATGATGATGATCTATCGATTCAAACATTAGCATCCGATATTGCTAATATACTAGAATCTATTTCGAATAATCGTCCAGTTATTCTTATTGGTCATAGCTTAGGAGGCGCTGTCGCAGTTAGATCAACTCCATTAATTACAAATGTAGTTGCTGTTGTGATAATTGATGTTGTCGAAGGAACAGCTATGGATGCTCTACGTTCGATGCAAGGTTTTTTACGCTCTCGACCATCATCGTTTGGTTCTATATCCAAAGCAGTAGAATGGTGCGTTCGTAGTGGACAAATAAGAAATCTAGAGTCTGCAAAAGTATCTGTACCTGGACAAATAAAGACTATTCTTAATAATACTCTAGGAACGGATGATTTAGAATCTGAAGATGAAAGTGTTAATAAAAATGAAAAATCTACCCAACTTGGTGGACCAATGGATACAATAGTGGAAGGTGAATTAAGTGGCTCTTCTGTATCACAAGAAACTAATGTAACAAAGTCAGATAAATACACTTGGAGAATTAATCTTGCTAAAACAGAAAAATACTGGAGCGAATGGTTTAATGGACTGTCATCGGCTTTTCTAGAAATTTCAGCTCCTAAATTGCTTCTACTTGCTAAAGTTGATAGATTAGATAAAGAACTTACTGTTGGGCACATGCAAGGAAAATTTCAATTACAAGTCTTAACAGCCTGTGGTCATGCAGTACAGGAAGACACGCCAGATAAAGTAGCAGGGGCTGTAGCATCATTTTTAGTTAGACATAAATTTGCAAAGCCAACGGTTGATTTTACTTGGTTTATGTCAACTTGATCAGATTCGTTATTTTCAAAGCGAAAAAATTTTAAATGATCAATGTATTACTATTGAAAATAACATAAATTTTTTCATTGAGAACTTTGTATCTATAAAATATCCTACAAAGAAGTCAAATAATTAATTTACGTTAATGTTTATGAACATGTAAAATTAATGTGTATGTGTATATGTGCGCGCATGCGTGCGCGCGTCTGTGTGTGCGTGTGTGTGGGTGCCTGTACATGGTTATGCATACATAAATGATTAAGCATATAAACCATTCGTATCCTTCAGTACGGTATAATTGTCTTTTAATGTATTCACAATTGCTTTTGTAGAATATTTTGCATACGTAAATCAAAAACATAAAAATCAAACATTACCTTTTAAAAAACATGTATCAATGTTATATAAAAATTATTACTCGTGTACTTATTTTAAGAAGAAAAATTTAAGAAATTCTCCAAATCATATCATTTATATATGTATATATCTATATCTATATCTATGAAGATTATAGATATTTTCATGTAAGCGCGCGTGTGCACGTAAACACACGTACGCACGCACAAACGAAAGAAATAATTTTTTATTAGAAAGACTATACATTATTATTCTGTAAATTTCTAAATTATTCATATTTGAACTAATATTAAAAGAAAAAAAAAAACAATTGAAAAATAATTTTTTAAAGCTAATTTCGATATTAAATAATTTAAAAATACGTCATAAAATTCCTTGCTACAAAAATAAAATGAATGTATTATTTTGTATTATTTAACACTGTTTTAAATTATTGTAAAAATAAATAAGTATTCAATAAAGTAGCACTTAATTTTTTGGCCATTTATTTTATTTAGATAATAAAGTATCTCAAGTAATTAAGTACCGAATTATTTATTATTTTATTCGATGTTGAGATAATTGTAAGAATCTCGACGTCCTAGATGGAAATATAAATACGCAATATAATAACTAGTCGACGTACGTAATAATTTTCGTGCTAATGCGTTACGTGAGAAATTACATCAAATATTTTAATCAACGTTATACGTACATATACATATATCCATCCCAATGGAAACGTAAACATTAATTAATAAATTAAATGTGTATGATTGTTTATAAGACAAATAAATAAATAATAAGCGTCATTCTAATAGTAGTCTTCAAGTAAAATTCAAATAATCCGTAAATGGAGAAACTTAATATTAATATTAATATCATAACAAAGGAGTTTTCAATTGTCATTGCGTAACAAATTAAATTCTTTAATAATTAGTATACAGTTGAGAAGTCATCGATTCCAGGAATGCTGATTGATCTCTCACACAAGGAAACAATCTAGTTCTTTATAAATGGGTGAGGCAAATACGGATCTTCCATTTACATTAAGCATTACTTTTTATTTCTTTCGTTTAATAAAACAGCTTTAAGTATGCTCCGTGACTGAATTATGCAATAGTGTCGTCAGTCAATTGATGTATGTGCAGAATTATGTAATTATTAATCATTGTTTATGTCGTAAGGCACTGTACAATCATTTTGTGTCTTTATACATTTTTAAAGTATTTCCAGGGTAAAGTTGCCATAAAAACAGAGCGTCAATCTATCTAATTTTTTATTATTACCTTATTCAATATAATCGATACTTATGATACTCGGATAAGTGTATCCATACATTGATAAAAAGAATAAATTATTACGATATTTGTATTCCTGTGTACGTGCATATTATGTATTAGACATTATATATATATATATATATATATATATATATATATAATAACACATATTATATAAGGGATTAACATTGCCCATACATTATAATTACAATGCGTGCTTTGATTTTTGTCAATAATCATGATAGAGCAGTACGTAATCCCAAGGTATCTAATATGCATGAACAGGAAGATAGTCGCCGGTAGCGTTATCTTACTTCATTTATATATTTTCTTATATTCTTATGCCATGCCAGGCAGTGATATTGTATAAGTCGTTGTGTTCGAACGCTACAATCAGCTGTTGGCCATTATTAGACAGCATCGGTGTTTAAACTGGAAATGGCAAACTTCGCGAAAAAGGATAGCAATCGTAACAGCCATACTTGCAATGTTGACATTGGAGGTAATTTTTTCATTTTCTTTATCTCACATACTTGGTTTTACGTCTGTTTAATTTACTTCTTCATCTCCAATCCTTATATTTACTGCCATGTTTTCGTGGTACTGAAATAAATATAATTTTCCGGATACATAAATTAATGACTTTTCTTATAAGCGTATTTGAATTAAATGTTAAAATGAAAAATATCCAAAGGATGTTACGAGTAATAAAAATAATATAATAATCACAGTAATAACAACAAAGATATTAATAATGATTGATATAGAATAATTTTTCTTATAATAAGTAACTATTAAGCATTGTTTCATATTTGTTATGCTTTATTAATTTTAATAATAATAAAAAAAAGAAAAGAAATATTTTCAAATATTAATTTTGCTGTTTTGTCAATTAATTGAAGTCAATGTAATGTTAAAATTTAACATTGAGAAAAGATTTTTCTATCGTCTAAAAAAATTAAAACTTTACAACATTGATTAATATTATCAATAAGTTTTTCCAGTAGTAAGCCAAATGCAAAAGACTTAGAATATACTTGCAAATAGTCATACATAAACAATATTCTGATTTACTATTATTTATTTTATGCCTCTTTATCAGATATGAGAATTAAGTACAAAGATAAAAGTGAAACTTTTACCGAAGATCAGCTAGTTAGTAAAGATCCACTTCAACAATTCAAAGCTTGGTTTGAGATTGCATGTAAAACTTCTACGATTAATGAACCTAATGCAGTTCTTTTAGGTACAGCAACCAAGTAAGATATACAATTTCTACAATATCTAATCTAATGATGATTAATTGATTTGATTAATTGTTTAAATATGCTTTTACTTTTATAGAGATGGTAAACCTTCTGTAAGACCGGTGCTGCTAAAAGGTTTTAGCTCTGATGGATTCAAGTTTTATACAAATTATGAAAGTCGAAAAGCTCAGGAGTTGGCTGAAAACCCTTGTGCTGCATTAACATTTTTCTGGGATCCACTTTGTCGTACAGTAATATTATAATAATTATCATTTGATTCGATATATAAAAGAATGAATTAATTCTATTAAAGACAATTATTAGTAGGTCAGAATTGAGGGCACCGTCACAAAGACATCCATAGAAGATTCTGATCAATACTTTAATACTCGTCCATATTACAGTCAAATTGGTTCTCTATCTAGTAAACAGAGTACAGTAATTCCCAACAGAGAATTTCTTATAATTAAAGAAAAGGAATTACAAAAGCAATTTCCTAACAATGTAAAGAGACCAGATTGGTGGTAAGATTGTAATTCTTATATAACAATTTATTGTACAATGATAATAGATTAATTAATGGTAATTACTTTATGTAGGGGTGGTTACATTGTTGTTCCTAAATCTATTGAATTCTGGCAAGGACAAAGCGATCGACTTCACGATAGAATTAAATTTAGAAGGTTGAAAGTGGGTGAAAAGCCAGACAATATTCTAGTTCATCAAGGAGATAACGGTTGGGTTTATGAAAGACTTTCTCCTTGAATTTTGAAAACTTTCAATGCCAACAGACTGATATTTTGGTATAAATTGGATAGAAAAAATTTGAAGAATTTATTGAATTTGATACACTTAAAATCCTAAATTTACTTTAATTTCAAGTCTTTTTGTTTAACTAAATATTAAACTATTAAAATTTATCAGTGAAAATGAGATTAAATTTGCTTTTGCGATTGTAACATGTCAATGCTACATTCCCATATCAAAGATTTTTTAGAACTTAGAAATTATTACTATTGAACGAAATCAATAATACACCGTATGACACATAATTTGATAAATGATTAAAATATTTATATATAGTATTTTTAAAGTAACTTTGAGAATTAAATGATCTTTAATATTTGTTAAATATATAATATAATTATGATATTGTTTAGATTGTACAATGCATGTTACATTTGTAAAAATAAAATAATAGTTTTATTATTTACATAATTATTTATTAAAAGATGTATTAATCACCATAATAAATAATATTGTGTATATTTATAATATTTATAGATATGTTAAATATAGATCATTAAAGAAAAATGTAATTTATTTAATCTAATAAAATATTAATATAATTAAAAATAAGACTTAATAGAAAAAAAGAATTTATATAATATAATATAATTCTGTATAGAAATGTCAAATTCTAATTGAATTAGACACAAAATCCTTAAAAATAAGTCAGATGTTTCAGATTTTAATAAATTTTAAATTTTGATAATTCGTTGAAGAAAATAATGAATATAACATATATCTCATAATACTTATATGATTATTTTCAAATTGTATTTATAAAATGTTATGTTAAAAAAAAAAAAAAAATTAATTATCCATATATAACTTGAAGAAATTTTTTTACTAATAATTAATTGAAGATAAAATAACTTTCATCTTGGCAGTTGTCTAATTAAAAAGAAAAAAAATATATATCAATGCATAATAATTTATCGCAAATAAAGTTTGGGAAATTATGCGAATGGCAGGTGTGATGATACCATGTCAAGACATTGTGTCAACATAAATAAACATGTTTCGACAACTTTGAAAATATTGCGTTTTACATGAAAATTACATGAAAAGCTTACTATAAAATTGATTTATGTATTTATTTACTTTATATATAAATATAAAATTATGTATCATTTTCTCTTCACCATTTTAAATTTAAATTTAAGCTAAATGAGGAAAACCGAACATCTTCTTTAACAAATTTATAAAACTTATATTTATAACGGTAAAAATTATTTAGTAATAAATACATCGGCTCTTTTATTTGTTAATTATATTTTTAAATCATTAATTATTTGTATTTACTTGATTTATAATCTCGATTTTAGAAATTTCGTTATAATGAAAACATATCGAATAAAATGATGTTTAATGATTAAAAATTTTACGCTAACAATATATTAAAAAATGATTTTATTTTATAAACAAATTCGACTATTGAAATCCTTAAAATTTGGTCATCTCCGAATTTATCAATTATGTTTTTTATCGTTATTTCAATATTTTAAAAAACAAATTAATTTCATAATTATATTTATAATTAAATTATTATTGTATAAACTTGATAAGTGCTGCAGCTTGTGAAAAATATAAAGACTATTTATTATAAATAATTCGTATCTTAATAATAAGTATAATAAATGTATTATATATAGGAATATTCGTTAATGAGAATTATGCTTCTAATGAAATTGGAGCAATTTACTTTGAATAATCTAAAATCAATGTCAATTGTCATCAATTATTTTCGTAATTTCCTTCCTTTATGTAAATATACATTTCGTTATATGTAAATACATTTTTATTTATGTAGAAAACATTTGCTATATAGATTTCTGTTAAAATTATGATCTTATTTAATGGTTAATTATTTAATCGAGTATACTTTTACAAGAAGGAAATAAAATACTTTTATTAAAATTATTAGTTTTTTATTTCCCACTTAAGTACTGGATTATATATATATATATATATATATATATATATATATATATATATATATATACATATATATATATTTTGTACATAAATACGGTATAGTCTAATACCTGTTCTATCAACGTGAGTTCAGATTCTATAATTAGAATCGTCAAATCAAAAAGCTTCATACCATAATTTTTATATAAATACAGAATATAGAAGTTTCCGTGCGTACGCATAGATATTTAAGGTGTACGAACTTTTCTGTACTCGATCAGTCAGATCTCAAAATTCAGGCACTTGATAAGCATCGCTAAAATTAAAAAACAAACAAAACAAAAAATAGTCACGCAAAATATATATACGCATACAAATACATCATTTAATCTACATATTTATATTAAAAATATAAGAAAATAAAATAATTTAATATAGGTTATCTATAAAATAGACGGGTGAATGCGTGCGTGCATGTTATTTGATAAACATCATGTAACTTTGCACAATGTCGGTGGAGTGAGATTTTTAACATTTTTCATGCCATTCGATAATAAAATCATTGCACACATTAAAACATTTCTTTAATGATATATTCCCTGTATTCTTATCTAACGTAATATCATAAAGCATATTTAAATATACAGTAAATTCATGTCATTGTATTGGCATTTAAATTATTTATACATGCTGATTTACGTCTTCATTATCGAGAAAGTATGCTGTCGTAGGTAACCTATGGCATTATTATTATGCATATAAATTATTTATGTTTAACGATTGATAACTAAATGCTTCTACCATATCATTGAGAATGCCTATATTATAATAATCCGACCGATTATAATAATTCGCACGATACACCTAAAAATACGATTATAATAAATAAGAGTAAGACGATAATGATGCTCAATTTACGGAAACCTTGTCCAAAGGTGGCGATCAAAGGTGCGCAAATATGCGCGCAACGAATACAACTTAATACGATGCACAGCCCTCTCGAATACCGGAAACACGGCTTTAAAGAGTGTTTCATTATCCCGCTATGCATAGGTTCCACTGTACAAAATGGCGGTTCTGGCCCGCGTATTCGCTTAGCGGTAAAAGTACAATCCGCGGCTCCAACAAAGACGGAGCTACGCAATAGCAAATATATATTATTGTACTATGTGTATACATGCATGTAAACGCGTAATCATATAAAAAAAATGTCAGGCCGCGGTTGCCTCTGAAAGCGAACGGCTGAACGAGGGGGGAGAGCAATAGAGAAAGACAGCAGGATAGCGCGGGGGAGCGTTCGAAAAAAGGGTGGTGGTGGTAGTAGGTGGGAGGGGGGCCGACGTTGACGAGGGAGGTGAGGAGAGAGCGTATATGCATTAGCGCACACAGACGTGTTAGAAATTTCCCTTACGGCATAGCCCTTAAGGACGACGAACTCGGTTCGTCTCTCTCACGCTAGGCTCGTCCACTTCGCGTTTCTCTACGCCGACCCACGCGCATGTAGTCGCACACCTATGTGCAGAGAGCGGCGTGTGTGTGTGTGCGCGCGGGCGCGAGCAGCAGCAGCAGCAGCAGCAGCAGCAGCAGCAGCAGCAGCAACGACGAGCCACATAGAAGTGCCGCGAACGGGGTTCGTCGTCGTCGTCGCCGTCGTCGTCGTCGTCGTCGTCGTCGTCGTCGTCGTCGTCGTCGTCGTCGTCGTCGTCGTCGTCGTCACGAGAGTGCGAGAGTGGCGAGAGTGGCGAAAGTGGCGAAAGTGGCGAAAGAACAAGGACGCCATGGCGTCCGTTCCCCTGGATTTCTGATTCCGGGCAGACGGTTACCAGTGCTCCTTGGGACGCCGCTGGCTCGATCCTATGAAAGTGGTGGCTGTGTGTCCCGCGCTCGAAATTCTTCGCGGCCGCGAGTCGTTGCAGTGGCCGTCGTCACGGCTTACCGTCGACCTTAACGCGCCGCTGGTATCTCCGTGCCTGGACCTTCTCGGCTCGGGCGTGACGGTAGCCAAACAGCTCTGGCCGATGCTCCGCAGCGATAAAAACAAACTCGCACGTCTCTTTTTGCCGTAAGTGTGTTTACCGTGCTGGATGAGGCACGATTATTGTGATGTTTTCTTGAGTGGCGGCCGAATGTATGGCCTGGAAGCCCAGTGGTGCTCCTCGACGGCATTCTAGTGTATTTTAGCATGCGCTACCAAGACTTATTGTCAAATAACCCTCAAAGTATTGTGCGAATAACCAGGGGGTTTTTAATAGAATGCGATTTTAATCATTACACTTACAATTCCTAATGGTGCGATCAGTGCATATTTAATGTGCTAAGGTACGTTTGATTAATGTCAAATTTACTCCTTATGGACATTCGTCGTGGACATTGCTCAACATCTTGGCAGGAGCCTGTTGTTTGGTAAAATTTGTTTTAATTTTTGATTTCTTAAAAGTCATGCCTTCGTGTTTACCTATAATATTTATTATTTTCAATAATATTAGCAATTACATTAGTAAGATGTTGAGCATTTTTTTAGCAAATATTTAATAAAGATGTTTCTATATATTTCAGGATAATTTTCGCTAAAAATATCAATGGATATTTCATTTGCGCTGGAATTTCACTCGCATGTCATGGGCAATTTTAAACAATATCTCAAGCATTATGTCCAACAGTTTTAACAGCTTTTTGACAAGTATCGGAAATGTTCGAGTAGAACAAGCTTTAAAGAGAAATAATCTGGAAACTCCGAGTGGAGTCTGACTGAATGATAAAACAATTAATCTTAAAGAAATGATGGATGATCGTCAGGCTGGCAATGATGATTGTTCCGAAGATTCAAATGGCGACGTATCTGAGAGAGGAAGGAGGAAAAAACTTGCCCCTATGAGAACCGAGGACATAGAGGAAATTAGAACCGAAGGATCGGCGGATGATATGGATCTAGATGAAACGATTGATTCGCATATAGGAGTGAGGATGGAGACCGAAAGGCAACATATTCAATCGCTTCCTTCGGATGATAACGAAGAGGAAGATGAGGATGAAGACGATGACATAGGAATAGATTCTGTGAATATATTAGACACTTTGCCATTAGAAGGTGCATTATTTTGTTTATTAAGTCAGAGCTTTCTTATAATGTAAATAAGTTTAATGCAGTGAATATTTGCGATGTTATGTTCTCATATTAGATCCGTCCGTCGGTTCAAAATGATTATAGTTGTTGAACTTGGATTGTGCTTGCTTATAGTAACGAAAAAATGGGACGTCTATTCGTTCATGAAAGTTTATTAATTGATTCAATAACTATAAATATATTTGAAATGCATTTGGTTATGTTATTATGGTTAACAGTTTTAAAGCTACGCGAAAGCAATATTATTGTAGTTAGTTACAAAGACGTGTCAATTAAAAAAAATATATTAAACTGTTTGTTATTGGTTATATATACGTAAACTAATAGAGTCATAACGATGTCAACAGGTGCACCAATAGAGGGTCAGGAGGTATCGGAAGCTGATCTACTTGGCAAGATAAACGACGATGACGACGACGATGAAGAAAAGTCTTTGTCTCGGTCAGGCGAAGAAGATAGCCTGGACGTTGGGAAAAGACTCACGCAACACGACGATGATTTGGATCCTGCCAAGAAAAAGCAGAAAAAAGACGACGGTTCGGAAGGAACTGAATTGGAATCAAAGGCTGATAAAAAATTATCCAATATGCGACGAAACATTCGGGAAGTAATGGACGAGACGCAGCTGGACGAGGCGACTCTTTCGGCTCAGCGACAGGAAATGGAGCGCTTACGTCGTGTCCAAGAGCAGCAGAGGATTATAAGAGAGGTAGATTGTTAACGGAAATTGAGCAGAATTAACTCGCTTGAAATGACGATCATTTTATCAAAAATATTATTAAATTGTCGACAATAAGTAATAATTGCATGTAAAATTTGTTGTTTAAAGGCGATCGTAGAATATGTTGAATTATAATGTATCTTTTGCTAATTTTCATAATGATCGTTGCTCGTAATCGTCATCTTTGAAACTGAAAAAAAATTAATCCCAAATTTCTTTCTCTCTCTCTCTCTCTCTCTCTCTCTCTCTCTCTATCTCTTTTTTAAATTGTTTTCGTTCAGCTTGAAGAAAAACTAAAGTTTTTTTCAAAATCAAATAGCAATATCTAATGTTGCAATTATAAATCACCGCTGAATATATGAAGATTTAAAAGAACGAAAGAGAGAAAGAGAAAGTCGAGAATAAATTAACGAATGTAGTCGTTGTAATTAACTGACTTGATAATGTGAAAAGTCGATAAAGGCTTCTCGTATGGGCACGAAAGAACTTTGGCAAAAGCCCTAAATTGAGCCACTAACAAAGCAATGTAACCTTAGGTTCGCCTGCCGAACACCGTGATGTTAAAGGTGAACTCGGGCTCAGCAGCGGGATCTCAGGCATCGGTCGGTCAACAGTCCGGAATGGCCCCCAGGCGGCCTCTAGCCGAGGGTTCGCGCTGGCAGCGAGGCGGCCGCATTGGCGGTTACCCGGGCTCTCAGACCTCGATATCGCGAGTGCCGGCACGCGCGACGACGCCCAACGTCCTTCAGCAGCGAATACGCATGATGACGCCCTCGGTGAGCATCTCGCCGGTGGTGCCCAAGAAAGAGCCGATCGAGCACCTCGAGTATTACACGGACTCCGACCTCTCGGACGTCGATGCGGAGGCCGAGGAGGCGATCCTGCACGAGAAGCAAATGCAGCAGGCGCGCAAGCTATCGGGCGTACCGAAGATGGGGCAGAAGCTCGCCAAGGGCAAGGATGTCGTTACGATATCGAGCTCGAGCGAGAGCTCGGACGACGATTGTATCGTCCTCAGCGACCCGAGCGAAGTCGAGGAGACCGACAACGAGGATGACCCCTCCAACTCGGGCATGCATACCAACGACCGCTACAATATTCCCGATGAGCACGGCCGAGTCTTAGGTGATTGAATAATCTCAATCCCCTTTCCTTCATCTTTCATTTTCTCTTATATCTTTGTCACTCTCTTCTTCGGCACTTGAGTTCGCGGAATTTTTTTACACCTTATTTGCGCATTATTGCGAATCGGCATCCTCTATAATATTGCTTGCGCACTTTATTGATTTAATGTCGTGAATGGAAATTTTGTCCATGCGAGCTTTCGATAATTGGCAAATTGAATTTTTGTACTCCACAGTGAACGTTGGCCATCCAGATGACGAGCCAGATGTCTTTTTAGCCCCGCAAGTCGCACGGATTATTAAGCCACATCAGATAGGGGGAATTCGCTTCCTTTACGACAATATCGTTGAAAGCATCGAGAGGTTTAAGACGAGCTCGGGCTTCGGATGTATTTTAGCCCACAGTATGGGCTTGGGAAAAACTCTGCAGGTTGCGAGCTTCTGCGATATATTTTTTCGATGCACAACCTCCAAGACCGTACTGTGTATTATGCCCATAAATACACTGCAAAACTGGCTCGCCGAGTTCAACATGTGGCTGCCGTACGAAGACGTCAACAAGCCAAAGGTAATTTATCGATTCGTGCACATTCTACGTACGGCGTTCAATGCTATATTTTAAAAATAATAACGATGCTTTTATATTTATTAATAAAAGGTCGAGGAAAAGCCGAGTGTAAAGGAAGAGAGCAATCAGAGCGATCTGTCGTACATGTCGAGATCCGGTTCCGAACATGATTCGTTATCGAGCCAGCAGCAACATCCGACAGGATTGATGCCCGAAAATATTTCTTATACCTCCCACGGTTACAATCAGAATCTGTTGCCGCATTACGGGCCGAGTGGTGCAATGTTCGATCCACGTTACGGGCCAGCTTATCCGGGGCCCGCTGGTTACAATCCCATCAAGACCGAGCCCACTTGTCATCCACAGTCGCTTAATCCCGGTATGAATTCTTACGGCCTCGACAATCGCGGGATGCCCCAATATAATCCGGGCTACCACCCTTCAAACATGCAACGGCCACCTGCTTATCCCGGCATGGAATCCAATTTGCACCCCGTCGCTCACGGGATGAATTTGCACGTGACGACACCGATGTATCCGGGATATGGCCCGGCTCCCGGTAGCATGACGGCCTATCCGAGCTACGGTGCTCAGCCGCGACCGGAGAGTACGGATTTCAAGAAGATGGAGAATAACATGGAGAGCCACGAACAGCGCGGCGAGCCCAATCAAATGAGCGTGAAGCTCGAGCCCGGTGAAGAGCTGAAGAAGGAGGTGGTAGAGGAGCCGAAGAAGGAAAGCGCCCCGGAAAAGGACGAAACGATTAAGACTCCGTTTAGCGTCGACGCGCCCGTCGACCTCGAGTTGCGCCCGCGGCATTTTAACCTTCACATTCTTAACGACTCGCACAAGACAATGGCGGCGCGCGCTCGCGTCATACGCGAGTGGCAAAAGACCGGCGGCGTTCTTCTTATCGGCTACGAACTCTACAGGCAGCTGTCATTGAAGAAGCCAAACAAGGCCAAGCGGAAACGCGGACAGCCACAGCCTTTTAAGGATCCATCGGTGGACAACGAGGAGGAGGATAAGAATAAACCACTTTTAGACGAAATGCACGTGGCCTTGGTTAATCCTGGCCCGGATTTGGTTATATGCGATGAAGGGCATCGCATTAAAAATTCTCACGCGAGCATCAGTTTGGCCTTAAAGCAGATGCGCACAAAACGTCGTATCGTTCTCACAGGATATCCATTGCAGAACAATTTATTGGAGTATTGGTGTATGGTGGATTTTGTGAGGCCGAATTATTTAGGTATGGCAGCACGCAATATAAATAATATTAAAAGGCACTAGGTCTCTCGAACAAAAATTTATATTTGATTTAGTGAGCTGGATCGACTAGATTATAATACTATAAAATTACCTACTTGAATTTTTTATTTATTTTTTATTTTTTAATGTTGTAGATGATTTTGCATTTTGATATTTATGCCATTAGCTTAAATTAAGTACATACGCACGATTTTTCAATCACGACTTCTTCAAGTTAAATGATTACCTACTTTACTTGCATCGTAATTTCTTATATTATTAATTATCGTATTGGCATCTGTATATATTATTGAATTTTCTGCGTTATAGGAACGAAAAGCGAATTTTGCAACATGTTCGAACGTCCAATACAAAATGGTCAGTGTATAGATTCGACTCCACAGGATATAAGACTCATGCGGTATCGAGCTCATGTTCTCCATGCGCTACTCGAGGGATTTGTTCAGCGACGCTCACATTCGGTATTACAGATCTCTCTTCCACGTAAAGAAGAGTACATTCTCCTGGTGCGCATGACAGCTCATCAGCGGAAGCTCTACGATACCTTCATGAATCAAGTGGTGAAAACACGAGCTGTTCCCAATCCTCTTAAAGCCTTTGCGGTCTGCTGTAAGATTTGGAACCATCCGGATATACTGTATCATTTTTTGAGAAAGCGTCAGGCAAATGAGGAGGACGATCTTGATTTGGAGGAGACGATGGGCGACAAGGCGCCTAATACACCTGGCGCCAAGCGCGCAACCAAAGCTCGGCAGCCTAAAGGCGAGGGAAAGAAAGGGAAGAAGGCGAATATGAAAAATAAGCCGGCAGCTAGTATACAACCGAATTCAACAGCCATGCCAAACGAGAATACGGAAGTCGATGGTGAAAAGCCGCAAAGTTTTCAAAACTTTAATGCTCCCGCGCCACCGCATCATCAACCACCAATCGCTAATGCTAGTTTCTCACACGCTAACCCACAAAGCTCTTACCAACAACATCAGCAGCAGCAACAGCAACAACAGCAACAGCAGCACCAGCAACAGCAGCAGCAACAACACCAACACCAACAACAGCAGCAACAACAGCAGCAACAACAGCAACAGCAACAACAGCACGGAGGCTATCAGAATTACCGCTCTGATGAACGCACGAGCGGCTACCATAGTAATGAATATAACGATTTTTATGGTAATCCGAACCAACAATCGCAACAAAAGTATCCATCTGCTGGAAATTCAACTTTCCAGCCATATTCACAGAATACGAATTATCCATCGAATAATCAGTCTCAGCGGCAGCAATATCAAGGACAGCAACCGAATTATAATATAACGTCAAGTGATAGTAATACAGCAACCGGTAGTCATGTTCAGAGATTTTCCGGAACCTCACCCACAGGTCCAAGTCCATCGCCAAGTGCGCCCAATTATCGATCCGACCAAAATCCCCCAATAGGAGTTACCGGAAATACCGTATCATTTTCACGATCTAATTATCCCTATCAAGAACGCGATAGGACTTATCCCACGACCATTGGACAAGGACAGAGTTACTCGCAGGTGCCGAATCAACAATCCTCTGGCTTTCAACCTCAGAATCAAACGTCTAATCAGATTACTATGCCTGAATACGGCACTTATCCGCCTGCAAATCAAAATCAAGGGTATAATAACGCTCCTACCCAGTCGATACCGAACACCAGTATAAACTATCAAAGTGGCGGCACACAACAGCCAAATCAAAATACAACCCTTGCAAATAACACCTCGGGATACATTAGTAATCAGCAGCAACAATGCCCTAATCCGCCTGTGGTGAATACTTCCACTTTTCCCCAAAATCAGCAAATGCCAAGCTCCGTGCATCAACCGTATCAGAGTCCAGTGTCGCAGCAGAATTCCAGTGTCCCACCAATGCAAAGTCAACCCCATTCGTATACAGTGAATCAGTCAGGGACACCTAATCCGGTAGCGGTTTCACCCAGCATGGGTTTCAATCCGAATCAGCAGCAGCAACAACAACAGCAACAACAACAACAACAACAGCAGCAGCAGCAGCAGCAGCAGCAAGCACAGCATGCTTATCAGGCAAATTTGCCACAAAATCAAATGAGGGGATATCAGAATTTGCCACAAACCCAGGCCCCTAATTATATGCAGAGTCATGTGACTGCTAATCCAAATCAACAAAATCAACCTCATGCTTATCCCAATGATCAACAGCAGCAACAGCAACAACAACAGCAACAACAGCAACCTCAACCCCAACCCCAACATGGATATAATCAACAACCACCAGCGTTTTCGCCTACAGCTCAACAGGTAAATGTTTTTAAACAGTTCTTTAGACTTTTAGATAGTACACACACCTTCTATTACATCAACCAATAATGACTAATTATTGAAAGTTATATTAATTATATAATTACTTAAAGTATTTACTTAAACTACATTTCGACTTCAGAACAATGTTTTGTAAATTTCAATATTATAATTTCTGTATTTGTTGTTTTTGTTTTTTATGTAGTCCCAAGTACCAAGTGGACAAATGGGATACTCATCTAATCAATCGGCACCGACAGTGCAATCTGCTCAAGTACCTCTTGCTTATCAATCGGCTTCTCAAGCAAACCAAACGAATTCTCTCGCACAAAATCAACCTTTGAATTATCCTCAAAATCATCAACCCCGAGGTGGCAAAAACGTTAATCAAGACGATCAACAACATGGTTATCAGCGAACCGATCCTCAAACTGCTCAAAATCTTAGTAGCAATTATCCGGTGGCGCCAAGCACGCCTCATGGCTTTTCCCCTACGAATCCCCAAGTTGTGCCGGTTAATCAGGTGCCTGGCAATCAGCAGCAGCAGCAGCAGCAGCAGCAGCAGCAGCAGCAGCAGCAGCAGCAGCAACAGCAGCAGCAGCAGCAGCCAACGATACAAGGTCAAGATCAATTTTGGCAAAGAAATTATCAAAATTGTAACGATCCGTATTATAACGATACCAACGTAAGTCAATACCACGGGAGTTATCAAAGTAGCGTTGCTGCCCCTGGAAATTATCAAACGACTCAGCCGAATCAACCGAATCAGCCGAATCAGTCGAATCAGCAGAGCCCACAAATTCAACAGAATCAGCAAACCCCGCAAATTCAACAGAATCAGCAAATCTCACAAATTCAACAGAATCAACAGAATCAGCAAAATCCGTATCACGATTATTCTGGTAATAGCATGACCGATGCGAAGATGCCGCAACTGGGTGTCGGATCACATATGCAAAACTCGGTGCAACAGCCCAGCAACGTCAATTCAATTCATAATACACCGACCCAGCCACTTCCGCCGGTGAATAACACACCAATTGCCGCCCCGTCGTTCAGCAATCCAGTTAATACGACGCCTGGAATTGTCAACACCGTCCTTAATAATCAGGCTATTGTGGAGCAGCCGCATAAAGAGGAGAACAAAGACAAGGATGACTTGGCGGATAAAGATAAAGCTTCGGAAAAGGATAAGGATAAAGAAGAGAAGTCGGATGACGAGCTCGTGACGAAGGACGAGACGGAAAAGGATAAATGTTCACTCGGTGGTCTAGCAGGTGCTATGAGTAATCTCAAAGATGATCCGGGAATCCCTTACGATTGGGCGACTGAACTGATGAAAGGTTACATGCCAGGTCTTATAGACGCCTCGGCAAAAATGACTCTATTCTTTTGTATCCTCGAGGAAGCGATTCGTCTAGGAGATCGCGTTCTCGCCTTCTCGCAATCCTTATTTACCCTGAATCTTATCGAAGACTTCCTCGCTAGAAACAACTTCAAATACGCGGATGGTCAGACGGAGGCTTGGCTGAAAAATATCAATTACTATAGACTCGACGGAAGCACTAGTGCACTCGAGCGTGAGAAGCTCATCAATGAGTTTAACGTTAATCCAAAAGTCCACTTGTTCCTTGTATCAACGCGCGCCGGTTCCTTAGGTATTAATCTCGTGGGGGCTAACCGAGCCATCGTTTTTGACGCCTCGTGGAATCCTTGTCACGATACCCAAGCCGTTTGCAGGGTTTATCGTTACGGTCAGCAAAAAAATTGCTACGTGTATCGGCTTGTCACTGACAATTGCTTGGAAAGGAAGATTTACGATCGACAGATCAGCAAACAAGGTATGGCCGATAGAGTGGTGGATCAGTGCAATCCCGACGCCCATCTGTCGCTTAAGGAGGCGACGAGAGGACAGTCAGGTGCAGGACTTTTCCGACTCGAAGGACAAATACACCGACGAGGTCATGCATATAGTCCTCGATAAGCACTCCTCTCTCTTGACTAAGCAGCCGTTCCACCACGAGAGCTTGCTAGTTGATCGGAAAGATAAGAAGCTGAGCCAGGCGGAGAAAAGGCTTGCCAGGCGAGGTTATGAATTAGAAAAGATGGCTGCCAATTGCTCGAGGCCCAGCTACAATTACGTTCCTGGGAATACAGCAGCCAGAGGTAATAAACGATTATTCTCATAATTATAAAGTTTCGCGTGCTGTTTTATTATGAAACAGTGGCAAAACTTGAGATTACGACTAATTATAATCTTTTAACGTGCTTCTCGAAACACGAATAATATTAATCAACAAATTATGTAAAATACTTTTATTATTCGTCAAATTTATTGAACAATTTTGTAAAATCATGTTCTGGTTTTAGTATATTGATTTTTTTTTTTTTTTTGTGGTTATAAACGTTGTTTTGGAGTTATAACGGATACGTACTTGCAAATTTATATCATAACACGTATATCGTTATTATTTAAATCTTGTATTTTTTTTTATTTTATTACTTGATCCTTTTATCAATTCCAAATTTAGCTGAATTTGATCAATCATTAATGTACAATTGGCATTTATCTTATTAGATAAGAATGTAGCCAACACCCATAAGACATTCGCGTTATTATAATCGTTTGATATTTTTAATTATTGAAGCTCAATATAATAATTTATATATATATGTATGAATATGACTGGTTATGTATCAGTGGTTGAACTAATGAGTTTTTAGTGTCTGTTTCATCAGGAAGCCTACAGATCAGACAAATACGGGGCGATGGTAGCGGACCAGCACCAAAACCAGTGGCATCCGTCAGACCGATGCAGCAACGTGGTGCAGAGGGTCTCAATTCGCGAAACTCTAGTGGCAGCAGATGGATACCAGCGGAAGTTTGGCAGCGGCAGGGCATGAGCGCGCAGGAGATGACCTTACCCTTGGACGTCGTTATCCCCACAAATTCGCCCGACAAGGGCAGTATCGTATTGAAGGCCGGCCAGCGGGTCATGGTTCTTAAGAGCCCGAAGGGAATTTACATGCAGCTCGAGTCCGGGAAGATCATTGCTATTAGAACAGCTTTAAAAATAAATCAGCAGAAGAAGGATGACGAGCCACCGAAAAAAAGTAAATTGCTCTCACTTACTCCGTCCTGTAGTCTACTCGATTTTTCTTCAAATCTCTAAGATACATTTTCAAATACATATCGTCTTCTAATCTCATCGGTTTTCGCCTCCGTTTTTTTTTTTGGACGAATTAAATTTTGAAAACTAAATCTAACGGCCGTGAATTTATTTTTATTCTTTAGGTGTAACTCCGGCACCACAACGAAATAATAAGCCGGATGTAAGCTTCCCTCTACGTAATAATTCAGCCATCTCGATAATCCCAAAATCGTCGACATCCAATGCGCCTGCTCAACAGAATCGCTCGATCGTTAGGACGGGTGTGAATTATCGGCCATTCGGCGAAAAGGAAGTAGCCAAGAGGACAAAACCGGTAGCTACGGCCACCGCCAAGCCCTACTCGAGTCAATTCAGTACCAATCAAGTGTCATTGTCAAGAGTTAATAAATCAAAGCAGGACAATCCAAACGACATTGGCTCCATGGGCGAGAACTCGAATTCATCCGATAGCCACAAGGTGCGAACGGAGCAGAGAGTCGAGGAAGTGCGCATCGAGGATGTCGTGGCCGAAGCCGGATCAAATTCCGACTACAGTCCGTCTAGCCGCCCGTCGAATTCCGACACCGACTCGAATTTACAGAGACCCGTAACGGAGAACAAGGGTAGCTCCAATTTCCCCATCGACTCGTCAACGGCAAGGTCGCAGCCTATAATAAGGCAAGCACAGGATCGCGATTGTTACCTATCGGAACAGAAGGCGACTGTGCCGAAGAAATTCGACCTCGGCAGATCGGGCCCGCACAAGGATAAGAAACCAGACGGCAGCGACGAAATCATTATCGATGACTCGTCGCAGCACCAGATCCAACATTCCCATGTGCACCAACAACATCCACCTCATCAGCTTGGCCATCAGCATCAAACAGTTCACCAGCCGATTCCCCAGCATGCGCACTCAGGTCGAGGGCAGTCACGCGTTCAGCACAACAGCGGTGTGCCCCGGGTGACGTCGGACATCGTTATCAACAGTGGCAAGAGTGCCATCTCCAATACGAATCTCGTCTCCCCACCGGTGACGCCCGCACCGGCAGCCGCACCAGCACCCGCACCCGCACCCGCACCAGCACACGCACCCGCACCCGCACCCGCACCCGTACCCGCGACAACGACACCGTCCAGGACGCCAAAGCCGGCGCCCACCGAGCCTATCATATCCCACGATACCTCGATTCCCGGTGAAGCTATCCACGCCGCGGGAGTGCCTCAGGGCTACCCCTACGCTCAATACCCGAGGTACTACGATTATGGTGATCCGAGGTCGAGGCCGCTTACGGATCCGTACGGCTCGTATTTCCCCTCGACGGCGCCGCCCCATCCACCGGCTATTTTATCCCGGACGTCAGGTCCGGAGCTCGGTCAGGTCACTCAGCCACCAACGCCATTGAAGCCAGTGCTCCCAGAAGAGACGCCGAAGCTCAATCTTGAACCAGCGCCATCGGTCTATTCCCGTGTCGGCGCATTACCACCAGCCAAAGCCATCGGACCCGCCGATCTCGGTGAACCTATTACAACGAAGCCCATCGACCCGACGCCGGCCCCAAGGACTGCCACTACCGGCCCCAGCGGCGTACCATCAGCCGTCATTAGGGAAGAGCCTCACATCCCCACCGCATTTAGTCATCCGTCGAGTGTGAGGACGGCGTATCCAGGGCCTTACCCACCGACGCCCTACGATCCCTATTCGCAACATTATCCACCGGCGCCTGCCAGCTCCGCTACTTATTCCCCAGGAGGTTAGTTTTTGTTTGCTCCTCCTTCTTGCATCCTACGTTATTCTACAGCCATGTCAACGAAAGCTTGGCAAATTTAATTTAATACTCGTCACAATGCTCGCAAGATTCTTAATTCACACGATATTCACGATATTAATAATAATAATTTCAAAAAAAAAAAAAAAAAAAAAAGAAAGAACTTTTGACTAAAGCAATAATTCTTTTTAATAAGTTCTTAATAATCATCAATACACTCGTTTAGTTAAGAAGTATGCTTGACTTATTCATTTTTATTTCATTGAAATCGTGATTGATGGGAAAAAGTACAAACAAGAAAAAACCTTTGCTTTAAAATTCAAAGATAAAAACAATTTTTAACTTCTCTTTATTCTGCAAGTATAAAATTACATGGATAAATGTGAAAATTCCGTAATTCAGTGTGTCTCGTTCGTCTATTATTTATATCAATACTCTTGGTCTCTCTTTGCAAACATTCTTCTTAAAGTTTCAGTTTAACGTAAATTGCTAAAATATTTTCGCATTTATCAATTTTACTTGTATTGAACTTGAATTCAAACAGTAAACTGTTTACAATACTCGCGACAATGTGAGACTCCGATGATTTTCGCACGGAAGCGAAGAGCTTTTTTATGTCTGATAATGTGCGAGAATTCGTGGAAATTGACGTGATTAAGCGGGACTCGGGACTTGGGGCTCGCAATGTCGGCAAGGCCCTTTCCACGAGGCCCCCCCCCGCCCACAGCCGTCAGCCGTACATCATCAACGCCAATTTTCCAATGTTCACAGCGACTCCTGGTTACCCAGCTTACGGCGGCCCATCTTACAATGCTGACTACGCCCGCATGTACTCGGCCTTCCATGGACCGCCGCCTCCGAGCGCCGCCGACCCATACGTACACAGGACCTACGCGCCACCCCCGGCGAGTCACCCCTCCAATTACTATCCTCCCTTCCCTCATCCGCCCCCACCGCCCTATCCCAATTACTCCTTCCTACCACCGTATCCGAATCCCAATGTGCCTGCCGAGCCGCAGCCGCCCAGCCAGTAAAGTAGGGGCGACACCGACGATCGGCGTCGCCATCCCGGGTGAGCCCCTGTGCCCGATGACGTCGTCACCGTCACGGGGTTTTGTCCGACTGCACCCTCATTCGGCCCCATCAACCCTTTCCACGTAATGCTACTTACGCTACTACACGTACACGCACACCTACGACGGCTGTTTGCGATAGTTGCACGATCGAGAGATATTGCGCCTCCTCGGTTGATTTTGTTCGTCCCATCTTATATCACCTCATCTTATTATAGATAAAAATTTATACACACATACGTGCTCGCTGGCGTCATTGTACATTGATATATTTTTAATTCGTTACAACGAGTGCTTATGTTCTTGTTGGCTCGGTGGTATTGCGCAAATTTTATGATTTTTATAAAGCTGTTTTTATTATTATTATTATTATTATTATTATTATTATTATTATTATTATTATTATTATGATTATTATTATTGTCTTATGTTTTTAATGGATGATTGTTGGAGTGGGCAGTGAGGGGAGGCAGCAAGCGGAGGGCAAATTCAATCGACGAGCCGAGTCGTGCAATTATTGAAATAATGTTAGGGATGACGGTACGATGTTTTTAAGGAGGCCCCCTTGTTATTTAGGGAGATTCGTAATTTTGCCGTAAGAGAATGCACATGCGCGTAGTACACACGATACGAACAAAAAAGTACTCATACTCGCGCGCACACACGCGCGCGCGCACACACACACACACACACACACAAAAAATAATAACAAAAAACTAACACAAAATCAGAATTTCTTTTTATATGCATATTCTTAAATAATCCGATCTACAGTTGTGAATTGCAATTGAAGTGTCGAGAGTGTTTGCAATCGGAGTGCTAGAGTGAATGATGGATGGTGTAAAAAAAGTAGCAGTAGAAGATGTACGAAAATTTTAATGGTTGATAATTGTCTCCGAGTAAATTGTAGACTCAATCGTTCCTCAGTTATCTCGTTATGTAATTCGCGTGAATCAAGTGCAATCAATTATCATCCGTATATTAACGAGAGAGAATATTAAGAGTTTGTTATTATGTATACGTCAAGGAAATGAATATGTCTCGCCAGATATTTACAGGTCGAGTCACACGTCGACTATATTATTCTCATTGAGACTGCATATATAAGCTTTTTAAGCTTTTCAATAGCCCAACTCGATCTCTATCGTCTTATTTCGTTTCGCTTTTATTACTTTTTAAGAGATTTTTTTTTTTTTTTTTTTTTTTTTTAATTTTTTACATCGATTCTGTTTACTTATTCTAACGTATGTAAAACAGAGGTTTCAATCGGTATTGAAATTAATTAATTTCATTTCATTGCTCTTCAAAACCATTTTTTAAATTATACGACTAAATTTTTCTTTAACAACGTAATGTTTTACAAAACATAACGATCGCGTACTTTGTTGTGCAGAAATGACATTAAATGATATTTCTAATTATAAGTCACGTGCAAAACAATTAACAAATCGTTTGCGCGTTTTTGTATTATAACTTAAGTATTTGATCATTGGAGAAAAGGTACATTTTTATACGATTGACTTTATTTAATAGATAAAATTAACTTCAATGCCATATTAATGTCCCTTGGTCAGTACCTTATGTGGATGTTAAAAAAAAAAAAAAACTGTTCATTTGCACTTTTAGACATGTATACAAACATATATATTATATCCACGGTATATTGACGTGAACTGAAAACCATATTGTCATTGTACGTTCATTTCATTCAATGTAATGTCATCACTGACGACTCACCTACACCCGTCTCTTTTCATTTTCGATAGTAATGTTATAATAAAGAAGAAAAAAAAGAAACCAGTATTCGTTTGTAGAGATATTTTTAGCCAGTCGGTAGTAATAAAAAGCTTGAAAACCGTCGAGTTTTATACGAATAATGCATACACATTTGCTTTTAAAGCCTTGCGGCTTTATTGATGGATATTTAAAAAAAATACACACACACACACACACACAGCACATAAATAAATAAATAAATAAATATATATATATATATATATATATATATATATATATACAAATTGGAACATGAATAGCGGGTAGGATTTTAATATTTGTTTTTAGGAGGATACTTAAACGAATCGAGTGTAGTAGCGCAAGGACCGTAGATAAAAGAAAAAAAAACAAACAAACAAAAAACAAAGAGAGAACAAAACGAGGAATTTAACGTTTAAACAAAAGAAAACGGAGGCGTACGTGAGAAGGCAGCCGCAACGGCCTATTATAGCGTTATTTCGCGATTCTTGAATACTGTGATATTTTTGTCTCAGCTTGCGTCTACGGCTCCTTTCGTTTAAATCCTTCCTCTTCTTATTTTCATTTTATTATTTCTCCGAACGAAAGAAACGATCTACGAATATAATAGGGCAGCTTAGAATCGAAGGTCAATCGCGTGAATGGAATCAAAGAATTTAGTGTGATAGAATGATAAGGAGAGCTTCAGAGTTTATTGAGTTCAAATGAGTAGTTGGTCTCTGTTATCCTTGGATGGGCGTGTTATATGGAATATTTTTTATCGATACGATGTATATTATATATTTTAATAATTTCATGATTTTTTTATTTTTATTTTGCACCCGACAATTGTTTACAATATAATATAAGATTGTTCATAAAATTAATATTTTGTTTCTTGAAGATTATCGATACTACATCATCATAAAAATAGAAACGAAGACTTTATGTATTACCTTCGACATTTTATTTTATTTTAATAGCTTTATATATTTACATTTATATATATATATATATATATATATATATATATATATATACGCATGCGTATGCACACACTTGCGCGCGCGTGAAATATTCAAGATTAAATCAAAGTTTTATAATATTATAATATTAAGTTTTTCAGAAGTGTATGCTGACGAATTATCTGTTGGTCTTTGAAAAAGAAAAAGAAAAACTTTATTTCCATGAAATTCTCTTTATTTGTCTTTGAATTATAATAATAAATATAAAAAATAAAAAAAAAATTGGCACGTATCATCCGTTTTTACGGTGATAAAACATGCGTTTACGTACGTATTTTTCGCGCTACGATTGAAGATTTTATAATTGTTAATGAAACGGTAAATATATGCAAAGAGCGTAATACGCGTTATTGAATGCATTTTACGGCACAGGTATACCGCGCGTAAGGCAATAACAAAAACATTATAATAAAAGAGAAACGCGAGATAAATGCGGTGACTCGGCCCGTCCTGGCTTATTTGTTTTAACGTACACTACATAGATAACGTAATTAATTATACTTATATCGTAGGGAATATTCGGCATAGCATCCAGTGCACGCATTCTTACATATATGCATGTATGTATCGCTGTATATATGTATGTACATGAATGATGGTTTGGCGGCGCATTGCAAAAATATTGTTCCAGCCGGCTGATGATGACGATTCTTCGTGGTGCGACTATATTTACTTAATAGAGGAAGCACTTGTTTTTATTAAGATGTATTCGATGATTTTATTATTGACATGTGCACGGAGTTCATACCGAATAGAAAATTCTACAAAAAGATTATATGATTTGTCGAGACGCGGACTCGCGTATTCGTAGGACGAGAATGGAGAATATTTTTATCGAGAGTTTTTGTACTCTTTATGTGTCTGTCCGATCGCGTATTTTCGGTTTTTTTTTTATCCTGCCTTTTCCTCTCTCTCTCTCTCTCTTTTATTTTTTTTTTTTATTGAACTTTTTAATTTTAAAGAATATGGTAGCTTTGGAACTCGTTGTTCGAGTTATGAACAACAACTTAGTCAATATTTTGAACAAAATGACACCATTGCCCTTTTAGTATTTGCTTGTAGCCATATGAATTCTTAAGCACAATGTAAACAAGATCCAAATGAAAAGTAAAAATGCCTACTAGAAAAGTTTCTTTGCTGTCGCGTCGCGCGTTCATAATATAGATTAAGTAGAGTTAAAGTGAGAGGGACGCGGAATCTCTTTCTATTAATTTAACTGAGAGTCTAGCCGCCGAAGAAAAATGGTGACAATGGAGAGGAGAAAATGCGCGTCGCGCATCCACTTGTAGCGATTGTACAGAGCGACACGCTTCGGCGTCTATATATTAAAATATAAAAGAAAAATTATAAATCAAGAAGGAACACGAAACATTGTTCGTTAGTATTAAGCGTAATGACGATGGCAGCGTTTGATAATTATATATGTATGGGCGTTTAGCCTCTGGACGGAGGGATGGAGAACGAAGAATGTGACGTTCAAATGGGATTAAAGAGAGCTGGAAGCGATCTTTGCCTGTTATAGATTATTTGCCATTTACGTATTTTGTAAATAGCCATTATTTACATTTCATACTTATTTATTATTAAAATTACGTTGTACACCGTTGGTGACGATAATGGCGGCGTTTCACTGCGGCGACGTTGTTCATTAATTATCGCTTTCTTCGATGTCGGAGTATCTTATGTAAAATACATTGTTTATACCAATTTTACTGTCTATATTTTATTGTCTCGCAATAACATTTTCTCTTTTCATGTAATATGATAATTTAAATTTCTCCTCCTATACCTCTCCACCCCCCCCCATTTCTCAATCACTCACTCTCTCTCTCTCTCTCTCTCTCTCTCTTTATTAAAAATAATTAAAAAAAATAGTCGTAGAAAAATTAAATTACTAATCATTCAAAGGACTCGTGCAATCGAAGGATTAATGTTATAAGAGGGACATAATTGCAATGCAATATTTCTCATATAATTTGTTGAAACAATCAAAAGATTTCAAATAAATTTGTTCCATAAAATCTGCATACAAATACTTATTCAAGTATAACAGTGTTTACAGAAACAATATTTTATTATTTCATTTTTTATTCATTTTGATGTATATTTAAGATAATGATTTTTGTTTAAGTATTATTTAAATCGAAGTTTTTCAATTGATAATCATTAAAGTTGAATAAAAATAATAAATACATAAAAAAGATATTTAATTTATTCCTGATGTTTTCATGCACTATTAATCTTGTTAGATAAGCATTAAAAAAAAAAAAAAAAAAACGTATATTGTAAAAATATGAATATTAAAGTAAAAAGTTCAAGTTGACAACGCAGATCTGTAAAGTTGTGAAATGATGTAAGCTTTTAATGCGCATGCGCAACTGTTTCGTATATCTATAATTTCGCGATCCTTTAAGTCGCTTTTACGTTCTTTTTTTTCAATTCGACATTCTGGTTTTTACTTAGTGTGATCAACGTATTCGTTCATCTTTTCTTATTATCGTTGGGTAGTATCCATAATTGTGTTTTAGTCTAATAATATCGTAAATCCATATGTGTATTGTAATAAGCTACGAGATTCTTGAGAAATCTAGTTTTTTAGCACAATGATATGGGTGACGATTCTGTGAATAAAATGATGTGATTACTAAAATTATAATTACAAATTATTTTGTAAATAAAACGTTCATTCACAATACCATAGAATGACAGATAATTCGCGTAATTCGAGAAAAGCTAAGAAACAATCATTACTACCTGGTTGGATCGAGCGCTCTTCGAAAAAGTATCCCGATAAATGTTTTTATTTTAATGAAAAAACAGGTGAATCTAGATGGTCACCACCACCTTCGGATTCACAATCAGAGGTAAAATGAAAAAATTCGTATTATAGAATGTTTATTTTAATTAAATAATAATTCATTATTTATGATAATTTTTTTAGGTTATGAACTTAGAAGGAAAAGGTAAAAAACGGAAAGTATTGGATAAAGAAACTGAAGAATCTTTATGTACAAGTACTACCATTGACGATGACGTAAATTCTACGATATCTGATCGGCCTAAATTAAAGATTAGAAAGTTAAAAGTTCATAACAATGAACAATATGAAGCCAATAACGATACGCCTGCAATGCGCCTGTATAGAGAAAAATTGGCTCAAAGAAAAATTGCTCTCGAGGCTAAAAAGAATACTCCTAAAGCATCTATACAGAAACAGAATAAAATGTTATCGCCACCTAACGTAACTTCTCAAGTTACTTCTTCGTCATCAAGTTCACAAAGTCAAAGAAGGACCCGCCGAACATGTTCCAGTCTGTCCAATGAAACAGCTTCCACTTCTTCCAATAATTTTCCTAATATATCTATTGTGGATACAAAAACAGAAAAAACATTACCTATTGTTGAAACATGTAAAAGAGCTACTAGAAGTTTGGTACATGAGTCTGTGAATAAGACAGGTAATATTTCTAAACTTCAGATTCAAAAAGCAAGTTTAATATCTTCTAAATCAAATGCATCGTTGCGTGACAGATCAGTAGATACAGGTGTAATTAAAAAAAATTTAGTAGATACTAACAACAAAAGAGGTTCTCTTAGGAGATCCGTAACAAGAAATTTATCAAATGATCAAACTAAAAGTTTTAGAAGAAGTTTTAATAATAAAAGCATAATAGATGATATTAATATAGCAAACACTTCTATGAAATCTGTAGAAACAAATTCATCCAACAAACAATTTAAAAGCATTTCGAGCAATAAAAGGTTATTAGATGACAATACATTAAGTACTCCTAGAAAATCTATGCAAAAAAATTTATTAAATGAGTGCCAGGAGAGTTTGATAAAAAGTTCAACAGATGAAAGATTTGTAAATAAACATTCTCCTATATGTACTCCTAGAAAATCGCCAAACAATACATATACTCCTAGTAAATCTGCAAGTAAAAATTTGGCAAACAAACGATTGCAAAATTATAGAAATATAAATAATGAAAGAGAGAAGAGATCTACATTTTTTCATCAACAATTACATATGAATAATAATATATTAAATAATTCTATGCTTGATAAAGGTAAATTGTTTAATTTTATACGAAAAGATTCATACATGTTTATTAGCTTTAGACAATCTTATCATGAACAATGATTTTTTAGAAATAAATGAAAATAACCAAGAATATTTCAACGAAGAAGAAAATATAAAAAACAGTAGGAGCTTGGATGAAATCGAGGTGGCCAATGTGCATTGTGAACAAATGGAATGGGAACCAATTGAAGATGAAAAAATAATGTCAGAAGTGAGCTTTTATATAAGCAGTTTAAATTCTTTGGATTTAATTATTTTTTTAAACAATTTACTGTAATTTTATTTTTTTCGAAGGTTCATTCTGTTAGATACCACCTATGTGAAAAGTCTGCAGGAGTATTAAATAAATTTTCGTGCAGCGCTTTGCAATCATTGGATACCTCGGGAGAGAAGCATGCATTATACATAATTATTGACACAAATGTTTTTCTTTCAAATTTACCATTTATTGAAGAAATTCGAGATTCTCACTCCGACATTTTTGGTAGACCGTTTATTGTTATTCCTTGGACTGTTTTACAGGTATAAAATATATAGTTTAATTATGCTACATTAATTTTATAATAATATATTTTAAATTAGATAAATTATTATGTTTTAATAATATAGTAATACGCTTTAATTGACTGTTTATTCATAATTTTATACACATATATTATAATTTTAGATTTTCTCACTTTATCTTTTCTTAGTTTATAATGATAATTAATATTTATCGATATAATTATTAATAATGATTTTGCTCAAATTTAATTTATAAAATTTTTATAAAAATATAGTACTGTAGTTTAACAATAATGTCGAAAGCAAGAAGTTACAACTCTTTTACACAGGGAGAGTAGGACAGATGATTTATCGATAGTTGCTAATGTACAATATCTCGAATCTTGAGACTAATTACAGATTTATATCTTTTATTTAGGAACTTGATTTTATAAAAGATAGCAACAATCCTACAAGATCGCAAGTCCTCAAACCCAAAGCGAGGAAAGCCGTAGAGTTTTTAAACCATCATTTCACCATTAAGCATCCTCGTTTCCTAGGTCAAACGCCAATGGATGTAGAAAAAAATAAGAAAAAATTTGTAATTGAGTGTCCTGACGATGAAATATTACAAACCTGTTTGCAATTAAAGGAAGCGTTTAAATCACCAGTAGGTAGTGCTGACATATTATTAGTTTAAAATTAATGTTCTAATATCGTTGTTAACCACTCGTTACTTTCATTTTAAATTTTCAATTTTTAAATTATAGGTTCTTTTATCTTATGACAAAAATCTTTGCAACAAAGCCATGATACATGATATTCCGATATTAGGTCGAAATGATCCTTTGGAGAAAATATATTATTTAAAGGCAGCAGAAACTACAGAATTTCTGTCAAACAGCCTTCATACGCATATCGATAAAAGCGAGGACGACAATGGTTTTGTACAAAAGGAATTGCTTGCAGCTGAGGATATTATGGAAAATGGGAAAGCTGTTCTCAAGGCTGTTTTTTCAGCGGTAAATAATACAAACATATTCAACAAATATAAACAAGATAAATTTATCTTAGTTATGTTATCTCTTTCTTTCTATTCATGTATTATTTAATTAATGTTTCTACTTCAGGTAGTAACTAATGAAATGAAACACTTATTTGGAAAAAGATGGGAAAATCATGTAATTATTAAACCACCTTGGACAATAGTTGATGTTTTAAAGTGCACATTGAAACATTGGATAGCTGCTGTATCCGAATCCTTTGAAAGAAGAACTGAATCAATGATACGTAACATTTATGTGTGCATTAACGAAGTGCCAGAAGGTGGCAGAAAATTGCAAGATGTTAATATTTTCTTAGATCAATGTAAAAACGTAATACAAACTTTAAATAATGCTAAATATCCCTCTTTGAAGCAACAAATGTTAACTCAAATTGACGTAAGCAAATTTATTTTGCAATTTCACATATATTTCGTTGAGAATAAAATTATTAATAAGGACATTGATTTTAGGATTTAAAACAAACATGTATGAATAATATAAAGGAATTTAATAATGTAAGACTTAAAGAATCTGTAGGATCTGAAGACGATGCAGGCGAAGAGGAAAGAAGGGCATCGCTTGCTTTTAAGGTGTTTGAAGAAATTTATGCTTTTGCGAGAGATACATGGTAAATTAAATATATTGATTATCCAATATTATAAAATATACATATATATATATATATATATATATATATATATATATATATATATTATTTATCTCAAATGATATTTTCCTTATTTTTTTCGACAATGTAGTGGTTTATCTGCTGATGCTATGGGATTACAATGTTCTTTCTCATATAATAAATTGCATCCTTTTCTTACGACAAAGATCGCGCTTGAGCACCAAAATGATGTGGGTACTAATGTAAATAGATTATTACAAGCGCTAAGGGTGTAAGTATTTTACCTAATAATTATATTAAAAAATTTTGTAATAAGTATTGTTAAGCTACTTGTTTATGTACGCTTTTTGATATTTAGAACTCTGTCCAAATTGAACGAAGGAACAGGCCTTGATAATACCATTATTCTTTCTCTATACGAAGAACTTGTTAATTTTTCACCAGATTTGAATTTTAAGGAGCTCAAGCAAGTGACACCGCTTGATATTTATTGTTGTGTAAAATTGAAAAAAGCGACAATTGAAAATGGATACGAGCAGTTACAAGAGTTAGCCATACACTTTTGTCGAATGGCAAATCATAAGTATTCGTGAAAAAAATTTGCACACGAACATAAGAAATCGTTGTAGCAATATAAAAAACAAAAAAAAAAAAAACAAAAAAAAACAAAAACAAAAATAAAACAAAAAACAAAAAAAAACATTCGGTAAATTTGACTGGAAATACGCATAGAAGAAAATAAAATTTCAATGCTTAGGATATTATTTTATTTTCGTCTTTTTAAACTTTGCACATTTGTTCAGAAAGCGAAACAATGCGTGGTTGTTACGAGCTTATTTATTATTTAAATTTCGATGCCAAGTCCACGGTGGGTTCAATTTGAATAAAGAAGAGGGAAGCCGTTTTTTGGCGGCTGTATCCAGTTGTCTCTCGAGTAGTTGACGTGTTGTGTCTCAATGACATTAAACGTGTACGCGTGTCGCGACACCTTGCTCTTATTGGCCTCCGAGTAGTGGAGAACCTGGCCGTGTAAAAGTATGCAGGTGCCCTTACGCGCCACTACCTGTCGAAAGGAGCTCTGTTGGTAGTAAGCCACCGGCTTATCGTAGACAAATAACTCTTGCGCTTGCGGGTCCTTGTTCTTCAAGTAACGCCTGTGCACGCCACTTTTATGCGAGCCCTGGGCTATCCAAAGGCAGCTGTTTTCTTTGGTTGCGTCGTCCAGAGCTATCCAGAAGCTGACGAGCTTGACTGGATCGGTGTACAAGTAACTGGAGTCTTGGTGTACAACGACTTGAATATATAAAGAAATTGAGAGGGGAGTGTAGTAAGGTAGCCGGGTATCTTATGCAGATATTATATTTTTAGTCATTGCACTTGTTACGAGGAATTGGCGTAAGGATAGCGTTGGTACTTCAAACGAATTTCAATTCTTTATCGATCGTTTAAAATGTTCAGAGTGCAAGAAGTGTTAAATAAGTTTGCGATGGATGGTATCATCCAGTATTTGAATTTTTCATTTGTATCCGAACTCATCAATCTTAACAATAATTAACCGATGGAGTTTGAGTAAAGAAAATTACGCGTCTCCCTTTCAATTTTAGTGCAAATTAATTACTACAAAAATTTTCAGAAATTTAGTTTCATACGTCGATAATGCACATAAATACTCTAAACTAATTAATTAGCACTAAAATACTTGCGAAGCCGTTTCTTGTATATAAAATAAGCTTGTAAGATATTAAAATTGTAGTTATGATTTTGATTGATATTAATTATATTTTGTATAGATATTATGAAACGGAGCATACAATAAACATTATGTTAGCATTAACATAAACAAATGAGAAAGAGATTGTAATCTTTACCTTCAGAACCCACTCCTGGATTTTTATAAATGTACATAGACTGGCAGATGGCCGGTTCGATCAGCTCCAGTTGAAATGCAACTTCCTTAACTTTCTCACTGAACGTGTACTTTTTAAAGACGGGATGCAACCAATGTAAGGCATGTCCGACCTTCCAACGTTAAAATTTCGGTGAATTACCGGACTCGGAAGAACTTTTAAGTTGCCATTAAAATTCAAAAGCATTTCGTTTACCTTATTAAGGGATATCCGGGGATGAACTTTTAATTTCCCATCTTCTTCCAAAGCTTCCGATTCAAAAAAGTAACTTACTTTGTTTGCACTTTCAAAGAAGTAACGGTCTTTGCTCTGAAATAAAGAATTACGTACGTCAAATACTTAAAAAGTATTTGATCCTAATTCTTTTAAAGCACTAATTAAAGCTCCATAATATTGCTTCCCATAATGGATTGATAAGGAACAAAGCTAAACGGTAAAAATTCATTCATTTTTTTTTTTTTTTTTATGATTGAAAATTTTAAATAAAGCAATATTTGTTTATAAACAGTCGATATGATATGGTCGATGCGATCATGGTTTTCAGAATTTTCGAGATATATTGTTATGTTAATTGAAATTTGCATTTTTTTATTTTGAATTTTGTATATTATTAAAAATGTCCATTTTTCACACGGGTGCGATCGCGCACTCATTATTACAGAGTTTATCGGGACATTTATTATTCGCCAAAAGATAATAAAGATTTTTATGTGCCATTTTTTTGTATGTATAATTTTAGAAAAAAAAACAACCCTTTAAATAATATAATTTTGAATAATAGGATCGATATGTTTCAATTTTTCATATATAATAATTAGTATTCGCCAAGTAATAATGAAGAAAATGGTAGTTTCGTTGTTGTAATAGAGTTAAATATAAAGTAAAATAGGATGAAAAATTCATTGAAAAAATAATAATTTCAAATGAGTCGTTAGATCATTTGATACAATTTGCATTTGGGGCTAATTAGTCTCAGAGTGTGTTTTTATAGTGATGAATAACTATTTTACTTAAATATTCCTTAATAATGTACGTGCGTATGCGTGTGTTTGCGCGCGCGCGCGTGACATGGAATTGTAGTTGTTATAATGATATACTCAGAATGCTTAATCTTGATAAATTTCGATTGCATGTATTTTGCGTTGAATCGGTAGCTTTTCTCGACTTCTGTTAATGTCTAACTGCATAACTTGAACAATTTGGGAATTTCTATTGAATGATGTTGATGATATTAGCTTAAAGAAAATCCATAGCTGCTTAATCGCGCGATTTTCGCTAATCGTATTTATTTATTAAATATTGACAAAAAGTATGCAGATGCCATCGAATTAAATCTATTATTTTATAGAATCAATATGTAATAGATGTGATTGAAAACGTGTAAAGCGGACATCACGAAGTAGAGAAAATGTTTTTACCTGTTGGTTATCGACCGTATTGAAGACCTTCCTGTCTTCTTCGGGTGGTAAATTCGTCGTAAATTCCTCCCCGGCGGACTTTAATTCGTCCACTTCCTCTGGTTTAAAGAAGTCTTCCAATACGACAAAGCCGTCTTTTTCTAGCTGTAAAATAAAGGCGAAAAGCTTAAAAATCGATGAATACCGGAGTTAGGAAAAAAGTGGAGGATCTGGTCGTTTGAAAGAAAATTTGAAGTCCCGAATTTTAAAGTCAAATGAGCAGTTTCACAGCCATAGGAATAATAATAAAAGTTAATGCAATTTTTCACTTATCTCCATTTTCATTCGGTAAAATAGTTCCCGTGATTCATTAAATCCAAATAAAAAATTTATGATTTTCCCTAAGTCAGCATTACTAAGTAAGTAAATAAATTATTAAGGAAGCGATATTTCAACTCAATCGATTATTTTTCATTTTGCAATCCTATGAAATTTCATTCATATTCGTAGCGGAGAAATTCAACGCTCTCGCTAATTTCTATTCGCAATAATTTTACACGTACACGCTACGTACTACAATTGCGTATGAAAAATCGACGTTTTATTGCATTATACATTAAAATACGAGATCAATAGTAATTCAAAGCTAGCGTTAGAAGAAATTTCAATTCGAATTGAATAATCAGCCATTTAGTGGTAAATTTGAGTAAATGAGCTTTAAATAACAAACGTTGTGCTCTATCTAATATTAATCTCAAGCCACATGTAAATTGGCAATAAAATCCATGTAATCACACGTGGACGGTGATTTATTTGTTAGAGTCTTTATTTTTATCTTTTACAACTGTGCAACTTTGCCGCGCGTATATAAGTCGGTAAATTAGCGCATTGGGAAATTCCCAGTATTTTGCAGCATTCGCAAAAGCATGACGATGCGTTGAAGCTCCGAGCGAATGGAAAATCGCCCGACTGTAGGAATTCGAGAGACATTTGCACTAGCGACGAATAGAAACATCAAAGCAAAAACACGAGTTTTCGCTTCTTTCAATCCCGGAAACAGGTTCGTAAGTTAGCCGACATCGGGCAAAGAGATGTGGGCCCCTTCACAACCCGATCCGGTCCTCGTCGTTTATTGTTTGCGACCTTCGAGCCGACCGGCGAATGGCGTTTCCGATTCGCCAAGCATTTATAAAGGATTTGTTTTCGTCTCGCAGCCGAAAGTTGAAGGCTACTTTTTTTGTTTTTGCCGTTGGCTCGCCAACGAACCAAATGGCGACGAATCCGACGCTCGGCATCCGGCCGATTAGCGATATTCGCGATTCGCCTCTCTTTGCCCGTATCAATGGAGGAGAAGGCTCGTTACGATCCGCGGGCATGTCGAACAAGACGTTTTGTTCCATGTAATTTCAGCGGGACATTGGTGTTTTCGCGCGCACACGAGATGACGAACTCTCCCCCCCCCCCCCCCCCCCCCCACCCCCCCCAGCACCCCCG